TCCCTATCATCTAATATCCTTTGCTTTATTTCGCTTTCATTTCATCCAATTTTCTCCAAAACGTTACCTTCCTCTCCTCATTGCCACAAACGTTTGAGCCAATGGCCATCCAATCACTCATTTTCATAAACTTTAAACATATTAATTTGAGACACTCGATCAACTACACACTTTAGGATGCGATAAATAATAAAATTTTGTAGTGCAAAAGATACAGCCCGAGCCAGTCATGTTCTTTGCCTCTTACTTAATTTCGGCGATCAGAATGGTTCACCTGAGCGATATATTATAAATGCGGCATTGTTAATCAATTTCCCCATGTATTATGCGTTAAAGTTTCATTTTTTAAGCAATTTCAAATAGAAGTCTGTAATTACCATATTGGGTCCTATTGACAATAAAATTTCAGGAAATTAATTGCTTCATAATCTTAGATCTGATGTTATGAACCTTTATGCAAAATTTCACATTTTCTGGAAAATTTGATGCTACTAGCCTAATTACCTAACGTGTCCTAAATGACCCATCCACTACTGGACAAATTGTCAAATTTGTCTCGTAATTTGTCATTACTAATCTCAAGTGTGTGCACCTGCAACATTTCAAAGCAATCGGATGCGCTCCACGCGAGGTATTGCAATGCAAAATAACTAATGTACATGACGATTGCATAAGTTCTGGCCGAGGTTATACCCAAATAATATTGGCTTATCCTTAGATTAATCCCCTTGTTCGTAGGCACATTCGTAATACTTATTTGAGTAAATATTACGTATATATAGCTTATTACAAGGAAAGCAATTAAGATCACCGGGTATGTTTGTAGTGCTGGTTTGATTTTGGTTACCTATCAGATTGGCCAAGTTCTCTTTGTCTCCGTCTTTGAGGGTTAACTTGAAAGAGGTCGAGCAAACGTGATTTGACAAAAAGTTGGTTTGTTAAAAATCTTTCTAAAAATAATACTTTGGATGATAAAGATTGATTATTTTGTAATAGGCTCGTCGTAGTTGTGGATCTCCTCAAACGATTTGTGGTTTGATCAACTCGTTGTGGGATGGAGAATTGTATTATTAAGGAATATTTGATCGACTTTGTTTTTCTTAAAAATTTAACTTTTAAGAAGATTTGCGAAATCTGTAATTTATATTTCTTTCATCTTGTGCTTGTCTCATTAATGGGTCCATAATGCATTTAGTTAGGCTGTAGGTTCTGGTTGTAATATTTTTAACGTGAAATTGACAACTTTTCATCTTATTTCTTCATGATAAACGAGACAATCATAAATACCCTAGCAATGGAAACTTCTAGCTGCTTTGAACAAGTTTCACAATTATGTATGACTTGCATACCCTCCAAGTCTCAGAAATCTTATAATGAACTAGAATGCAAAATCTAGTTAAAAAACTAACCGTGAATGCAAAAGAAAGTAAGATTGGAAATTTTAAGCAAAGACGAAGGAATGCCAAAACCCTGAGCAGCAGCAGCATCATCATACTTATCACTATACACGACTACTTTCGTACAAGACAAACTGCCTCCTCGACTAGCACCACCTCTTTCTGGAGGAAATCTTGTGAAAAGTGAAAGCGGGCCAGAGCAGCGAATGAGACTTTCCAATATTCCAGCAAGTCTCAGCAAAAGTCAAGGAATACACACGGGGTTTGCATGCTCAAACCTGGATGTGTTTGCCCGGTTGGGCAAGCTTTGCTTATGTTTACCCCTCTTCTCTTGCCCAAGGATGTATGCACGGTATCAAGTTTTGGAGAGTTCACCCGCTTTCTTCATTCTTGGTGGCATTAAATAGGAACGAGATCAAACACACAACACACTGCTGACCTTCGTACCATGATTGGCACAGTAAATTGTGAAGGGCTTGTGGGTAGAGATTGCAGCCAAAGACTCATTTCGACAGCCTTACACTCAATCGTCTGTGGAGAAAGCAAAGAGAAAGTTGTACATACTATCAGTGCGGTCGGAATATTTATCCTGCTTGGTTACAGTTGCTTTTTATTCTACATGCCTCGTCCGGATCCTTCTCAACCATCCGGATCCTCTCATACATGTTTCCCTTCCGAAAGAAAATACACTCCCAAGAATATTTGTTTGCTTAAGGAGGAGAGAGTGAGTGAGAGCAGAGTGAGAGAGTTTTGAGAACTGACAGACGAATACTGAATGTGCGGCGATGTGTAATCTGCGTCTTGTGTACGCAGCATGAACTTTTTTGCAACACTTTATTATTTTTTTCACATTCATCCTTTATGCTCTCTTTATAATGTCTCACGAAAACGACAATGAGAAGAAAGAGGGAGTGAACATGCCGGCTATAATCATTATGCTGCGATAATAATGGTGCAGGGACATTCGTGTTTACCCTCTCGGCTGCTTTGCCGATTTATCCGCCTATCTGATTCGTCTCGTTCCAATATGAAGAATATGTGGTGTCAAATAAGGCAACAACCCGAGATGGCAATTATTGCATAAGTATTAAGGAGGGGAGGTTGTATACTATCAACTCCCGGATCTCGATGCCCTTTGGATAAGTTGTAGTGTCCGATGAATGTACAAGAACCCTGAAGCGGTTTGATTCCATGGCCACATTTGCGCCCGCCACACCCACTCAAAGGCGCCCAAAAACCGCTTTCACTCCAGCTTTCACTCACTCAAATCCACGCCAAAAATCCAATTTTACTCGGATTCTGAAATTTCTTTCACCATTATACTCCCAGATAGTTGTTCTCTTATATACAACATCAAACTCAACTTTTTTGATGATAATTTCGCAGCCATAATTTGCTTTGTTGATTACTACAACAATGCTCATTCAGAATTTTAAATTTTAAAAATGCTAAGCATTTCAAAAAGTTGAGTTTAGTGTTGGACATGAGAAAGCAACTATCTGGGAGTATAATGGTGAAATAAATTTCAAAATCGGAGTAAAATTGGATTTTTGGCGTGGATTTCAATTAGTGAAAGCTAGAGTGAAAGCGGTTTTTGGGCACCTTTGAGTGGGTGTGGCGGGCGCAAATGTGGCCATGGAATCAAACCACTTCAGGGTTCTTGTACATTCATCGGACACTACAACTTATCCAAAGGGCATCGAGATCCGTGAGTTGATAGTACACAACCTCCCCTCCTAAGTAAACCTGTACATGTGTAACTGATTGGATCTGAACACTATACACAATTCGTATCGTAATGTGCTTAATGATCGGTGGTTGCTACATTGAAAGTGAAACACTGGTATATTTAATGTGCTATCAGCACGGTATGTTTATGCTCTGAGGAAGCGAGATAACAGGAATGTGCAGTCTCAATGATGACAAACGTGGAGGAAGAATTTGAGCCAGTTAATTGTCTCCACAACCTTTTGCAGTATACGTAGGAAATCGTGATAAGCATTACTTTAGTAGGTTAAATACTCAAAGTTCCTTGAATCTCTGACTCTGCAAAATTGCACTGAACTTTTATGATTGTGATGGATTTATGACAGTCTGAAAACTTTATAGGAAAACGCCGCTTGAATAGATCAGACATAAAGTAAACGGGTGTTATAAACAAGGAGAAAATTTTTCAACTTAGCATTTACTTTCAAAGAGATGTAAGTTGGCACATTTGTAGAATCTGGGTCACCACTGTAACTTTTACTGGTAATTTTCCAAGAAAATGGCAAATAGGTTTATTTCCTAAAGTGTCATTGTCTCGTGTCCCTAGTTTGGTCGAATTTATCGCCAGTTACAGGTGGTCTAATACTCGCATAGTACCAGTGCGAGTGTAATATATGTACGTACATATCCTGCTGAATAGTAAGCACGCAAAAATTGCTTGTAGACTTTTTTATGTAAGTGTGGATTTGCTTGGAGTATCAGGATATTACGATTGTGGCAAGATTATTATTGATACACATTCTGCTAGTAAATCATAAATTTTTATTGTATGCATGAAAATCCAATTTTATTCACTACGTTGTTTGCGCGTTTGATAAAATGGCATTAAAGCACTTTTCCGATTAACCCCACAAAGTCGAATTTATGATTACATCTACATTTTTGGAGGCCGAATAATCCAACTAATGTAAATATGAAGAAATATGGTTAGTATACGTTAACATAACAAATCTATATTATGCACATATATATAAGACCCGACTTAACTGGTGCTAAGATTTACGACGAGCAGGTCCACTGTTACAAAATATAAGTTTTAAATAATAAGTTTTTTGACATAATGCCAAAGTTTCCTACTATATTTGAACTAAAGTCTATCTTGTATAACTCAACTATTGTGTTCTCATACTAGACGAGATTCAATACGGGTTTAGTATTGTCGAATATCGCTACATGAATATTATGTCCCTAGCAAACGCCGACACAGCAGCAGCAATGTTAACACAACAGTACTTAATGTAATGCAAGAAACTTTGAGTGGGTGAAAGTTGGACTTGACTTGCTATTACAGCGTTTTATGCTGAGTGTTTCGACCTCATTACGTAAAACGACACTACTACCACATAATTCCAAAAGTTCAGAGACCACTAACTCCTCGAACACATTGCCCAACATGACACAATGCATAACGCCTCAACGACGAGTAAAATGATCCGCCTTGAGCTAATCATCCATCCCGTAGACTCGAGTGATCTTTTTCAAGTGGGGACTTCTGCTGTTGTTGGAAGCAGAAAGTGGCAGCCTTTACAAAATATATTAAACATAAACATGCTCAAGTTCACCTCTTCCAGGGATCACATAGTGCTCACATTGTAATGAGAGTTGCACCACCACCACCAAGTTTCAAAGAAAATAAGCAGAGATCAAATTTAAACTACTCACTCTGAGGGGAAATGTAATGAAATGTAGTCTTTAATGTTATAATTTCATACTCATTTATGAGTACAATTAATTATACTCGCAGTAATTAAATAACGCTGTGGGATGCAAAGCTCATGAGAAAAGTGTGTCTAGTTATGTACATACCTGAGTTGCATGAGGTGAAAGTCGTTAAACATGTACATGACCGAATTGATGCTACAATTTTTCGTCGTTTTAATTGGCTCAGGTGCTGAAGGAGGACCGAACGAGAGGAGGCTGTTGGAGGATTTGCTGCTCACGTACAACAATCTAGAACGACCCGTCGCTATCGAAAACGAAACTTTACAAGTCAGCTTTGGCCTTACACTGATGCAGATAATAGATGTGGTAAGCCCCGCAATTTAGCAGTACTCGAGTACAACCCTCGAATCCACTCATTTAGTTCTCACCACTCATTTAATTCCTGAAACTACTTATATATGAATGCATGTCCATGTGCACATATTCGTAAAAGTGAAAGCAGGAGACTAGCATTTCCTCACTTTTCATGAGTAAGTTGGTGGAAACAAACTGTTTATGAAAAAACTCAACCGAGGACTTTGCTTCAAATTTAATAAGTAGTTCAAACTAAGCCTTATGCTATAAACTATATGCGAGTATATTGTCGATATATATTTATGTCGCTGTTCTCATTTCGAGTGAAAGTAAGTTTTGCTGAGAAGCAGACGTTTCCTGCGCTTTTGAGTATACACTTTAATCGTCGCCTGCTGTTTTGTAATGGCTGTTCGTAATGCAAAGTCATTTCCATGCTATTAGTCTCAAATGGGAAGATAAAGACTCGTCCTTTGTGGTGATCTGAGAAGCGAAGAATTTCCCCAACAAATCACAACTCGGGTCAGACACGAAATTAATTTGTTTGGCTCTATTTGCCCTCAAATTTTTCCAAATTAAAATTTTTAATCATCAATAGTATAAGGCTATTTACGATAACAAAAACTAACGATGAATGTCATATAACTATCGATTACTTATCGATTAGCCTCCACTTATTCACTCACAAAAAGAATAATAGGTTTTAACCAATTTTTAAAACAAAAAAATCAAATATGCTATATTCAGTTAATAAATGCTTTTGAAATATTGAATTACACTAATCTATTGAAAAGTTAACTATATTTATGTATACAAATGTATTTAATTTTATAACTTTCAATCCCTTTTGCATTGGTTTTACATTTTCAATCCTTTATGCATAAGGTTCATAACTGTGTGTATGTAAACACGATTCTTATCGATTTCAGGATGAGAAGGATCAAGTACTCACAACAAATGCGTGGATCAATCTAGGTAAATTTTTCGCACGGGAACGTAAATTCTGTTAAAATTATTGACGGACTCAAAAGTCTTTTTGTATTTCCTTGATTGGAATATTTTTTTTCTAAGCACTAAGGAAATGTCCATTGTCTATCAAATAAAATGTCCAACGAATTATAAGTCAGCGAATATAACGGATCTTAAATTACTTTAATTAGCATAGCTTTGATCTACACAAATTTGGATTGATCATAAATAAAAGTTTACATCATCAGCGCAGGATTTTCTTGTTCCTTTTATTTGATACAATTATAATTATTCAAATACCTTCTACATGCTTTGGTGGTGGTGTGCATTTTATTTGTTAAAAGTGTTGATCAAAAAAATCTGGTCAACTACAAATGTAATGATCGAGTAACTAATATTTTTTCAGAGTGGACAGATAGCAGCTTGAAATGGAATACTTCAGAATATGGCAGAGTAGATAATATTAGAATACACCCAACTAAATTATGGAAGCCAGACGTCCTTATGTACAACAGGTGAGTGGACATTGTCCGTAATACAAACACACGGACGGTGTTCAATTATTTTAATTTGATGCCATATGTAAGCGTAGGAGTAATTGGGACAAGGGCAGTGCGAAAAGAAATGGTTAATGCTCATTCTTCGTATGGATGAGGGGGAGGCAATTCATTCACGGTATTGCTTTCTCCATTAGAAATAAACCACAAGTTCAGCAAGTGGGCAAAATAGCAATAAATTATCACAAAGAGCTTGCGTGAGCAATTTTCTAGACCTGCATTACTCGTAATGAAAGCACGTTGAGCCGTCAAGCATCCATTTCTTACCATGAGCCTGGTTTTTAAGAGAAGATGAGGATGGCAAAAGCGTGTATTGAATAACTTGGCTTTTCAGTCTTGTTGCTTGGTCGGCCGTAAGATCTTATAAAGTTTGAGGCTGTCAGGAGATAAAATTACGAGACATGATTTATCTTTGGTCTATTTGCTATTCAATTCCCAGTGGGGCATTTTTCTTTCAATGAAAAATTTCAGAGCACACATAAAGCCGTTACAAGTTCAACAGACTTCCGTTGCCACATTTATCAAACCCTGGCCATTCTTTAATTTTAAAATGTGTTCCAGCCGGCGCTGTATAAAGAATGAGGAAACGAGTCAGTTTATAATGCAATTTCAGCTCTAGTAGGGATTTCTTAAAAAATGGATGGCTTTATATGTACCGTAAAATGAAAAAACAATGGTTGCCATTGATAATCCTCTAGACAACAAATTTTCAGAGATGAGTTGTCTCCGAAAATCTCTAGCAGAGTGGAATGCATTTATCATTCTTTTTGTCAAGAATTTGAAGAATTTAATTGAGAATACAAAAAACCTAAACCTTGCTGGCAGTCCCAGTATTCAATTTGTCAATCAACTCGCAAAAGTATTCATGAAACTTGGGTGGAATTACAAAAGTCAGTGAAAGAGAAAGTAGGGCTTTCATCTCTATGGAGTGACCCAAACAGATGAATGTGAATATATGTACATTCATATGTATGTATTTATTAATAGCCGAAGAGACTGGGCGGACGAGGAAAGGAGGAGGATTTTTGTGCGACGGGGAAAACATTGTTGGGGCTGTGCGTGCTTGTGTTTTTTTGTTGAAAAAAGAGATAGGTCCAATTATGCATTACATGACATGAGGGAGACAGGCTTGATACACTCATTCATCACAGTCATCAATCAAACCCACTTCCTCCGCCTTTCACTGGATACATCACAAGCGGATGGCTTTGCAGTTGATGTATTCCTACTCAGCATTTCTTGACATCTTGCTCTTACAATGTTCACAAGACAAAATGAACTCAAATTGGATTTAGCTATTCACATTAATTTGTCATGCAAACTTTTTAATAGACGGGAAGCTTTGTCGAAGAGGATGATGGATTTATGTAGACTTTTTTCCAAATAATGCAGAAAGTATGCTGACAATATGTATACACACACTTTCTACAGCAGAGGATACATTAGTCTGACTATATTTTTTTCTTAGCATCATTCATCTTCGTATCTTTTAGTATTTTATTTATGTATGTTACAAGCTATGTAGACGATGCTGCCCCCATTTTCTACGCTGCCATTTACATTTTCAATTGTTTTTGCAGTGCCGATGAAGGATTCGACGGGACATTCGCCACAAATATAGTTGTTAGAAACAATGGCAGTTGTTTGTACGTACCCCCAGGTAGGCAAAGTATTTCGATTGTACTGCGAAAACGTGTATGCAAATAGTTTATGATTATCCAGCTTAAAATCACAAATATGCATGTAATTGGCAAACTAATTCGTCACCTTATTATTAATTCTTCAGGAATTTTCAAGAGCACGTGTAAAATAGACATCACTTGGTTTCCATTTGATGATCAAAAGTGCGAGATGAAGGTAAGGTTTATTTATGTCACTTTTAGTGATATTTCACCTCAAATTTATATCAGTATGAAATTTTAATAAATTACCTTTGCCGAATTTACAGTTCGGGAGCTGGACATACGACGGATTCCAGGTACATTAATGCGCAAAATTATGTTGCTTGATTTCCAAATAGGAAAACTATGTATGTAAATCCTGCAGGTATGAGTAGAAATAATTATTCTATTTTAAATGACGTTATAAATTCTTTGTATTAGTTGGACTTGAGTATGAAAGATGATGCCGGAGGGGACCTGTCGAGTTTTATCACCAATGGTGAATGGGAGCTTATAGGTGAGCCATGACTAAATATATAAGGGGCTAAAATATTGTAATGAAGAGTAATGTGATATGAATACAAAATAAATTGAACCGAATGAAATTGATCTTAAACTTGCTGCAACCTTTTAGGAATGCCCGGAAAGAAAAACGTGATATACTATAGTTGTTGCCCTGTACGGTCCTGGTTACTTTAATTAATACTTTATTCATCAGTCGGTTTACTAATTTGGTGTCTATTTATTTTTTCAATGCTTGAACTTTGATTACCTCACCTGACTGACGCCGGTTGTCAACAGGAGGTGATGAACTTCAAATTTACCAATATACTTACGTTCTTACACATCTCTACATACATACATATTTACGCATTTCTTACATGCATATTTCTTATTTCTTCTTCGCATCAATCGGTAGTCGGTCAGTTTGGCGAAAACACTTATGGCGAAAAACTTTCGCCAAAAAATAATCCCATTTGGCGAAAAACAAATTCCATGCATTTCACCGTACGTTAGTTTTATTTTATTTAAAGTACCTTTTGGCGAAAATAATGTCGCATTTGGCGAAAACGAGGATTTTGTGAAAATCGTTACTCATGGTCATGAAGAGCGTTCAACCCTCCGGGGACCATCGAATACATGGATTTGTGACGGGACGTTTAAATCATGTTCAAAAATATTCAACTTTACACAATACATTGCATTTAAGAAGCAATTTATGCATAAGCCGAACAAGCCGACAATGCGTTCCAATAGTTTGTGCCTTCTCCCTAAAAAACAAAGAGTGCTACAAAATATTGTTTGATGTTGTAAAAGATAACGTCAAAAACTATAATCCTTCTCAAATCATACTAGATTTCGAGGCTGCGGCAATTGATTCTACAAAGTCCATGTTCACAAAGACAATAATTGAGTAGGTTCCACCTATGTCAAAGTATTTTTAGGAAAGCTCAAGAATTAGGCCTACAACCAAGCGATTTGACATAAAGAAATGCGAAATTTAAATTTCGCCAAATGTACTTTTACGAATTTTCCACTTTCGCCAAATGTGACAATAATTTCGCCATTTAGTACTTTCATAGCAATTTTTTACCACATTGGCGAAAATTTTTTTTTTCGCCAAACTGGCTTTCGCCAAACTGACCGTCAATCCATCAATCAACCCACGCAACAAACATTTTGAGCACTTGGACTTTCTTCACGTCTTGGTTGTTGATTCTTCGTCAATCTGGTTTTATTTAAGAATTTGAAACTTTTCTGATATTTGCAAAGGTTACTAACGTGGGACATTATGACAATGATTATCAATGAAATACTTTCAAAATATCTTCAGATTCGAGTGTCCAAATGTGCCAAGTGTTTGATTTTCGTGTGTATTTTGATGCAAAAAAAATACAAAACAAAGAAAATAAATATAATAAGAAGAAGGATCATGTGATATTAATTTTTCATATGATAATTTTTTTCAGCCATTTGTCGACGTCACATTTACCATCCATGTTAGAAGGAGAACATTGTATTATTTTTTTAACCTAATTGTAAGCCCTTCAAAGTTAATGCGTTGAAAAGTATCGAATCAATTTATTTTATTACTAAATCGATGCAAATCCAGGTGCCATGTGTGCTTATCAGCTCGATGGCCCTACTTGGGTTTACGTTACCCCCAGATTCGGGTGAAAAGCTGACCTTAGGTAAGTCCGCTAGAAGAGAACTTATAATTTTCAACATTAATCTGACATTCACTGTTCACTATGTAGCATGTCGTAACAGAGTAAAAAAAGATCTATTGAATCACCATAAGCCGGATTGGCTACATGTTTTAGAAAAGCATAACGTACCCGTTTCCGGGGCAAGTAGATTAAAGAAAGTCTATTAACAAGTGTGGCACAAACAACCACGTCCCCGCAATCCATGTGCTTTATTTATCAGCACCGGGGGACTAATAATTTGCAAAAACTCATTCCACGCAGCTGTAAAATAAACCAACGGTAAAACTTTTCTCGTTGCATGGAGGTAATGATTAGAATTTTTAATGGTTTCCAAAATCAATAGTTTATTCCTTCAGCGGTGGGATAAGCAGGAGACAGGCATTTGCTACATGCATATGTATAATATGACGGGGTAGCGAAAAATTAAACTCAATAAAAAGAGAACAAATTATCTTTGAAAGGAAATGCAATTCATGGAACACTTTTACCATTTAATATCTTGCAGAGTTTGCATTTTACAAGTCAAAAATTGCCACTCATGGCAAATGCCTTATTTGTATGTGATTATATACCAGATCATTCCAAATTCTCGGAATAAAGTCACATATTTTTAGCCCGTGTAACAATTACATAGTTGTGGACAGTGTGTAAAGCATAAGAATAGCGTAATTTAAAGTACTGGAGTTGTGGTCAATCCAAGTTGAACACCTTAGAGTTAGACATACCTATTTTGTACTAAAGTTGTCTTTCATACAAGATTTTTGCATATTTTTAATATTTTAATGTTTGAATTTTAACCACTCCACTCGACCTGACCTTCGGCGATTATCAAACAGGAGGTGATTCTTTTGAATTTAAATTGATCTGTATTGTTGTGGATTGGAACTGAATTTTTTGAAAAAATTTCAGTCACCATTCTCTTATCTCTGACTGTGTTCCTTAACATAGTGGCAGAAACGGTACATTAACTCATATTGTACACGAAATTTCGAATGAATTAACAAAATATTGAACTTTTAAGATGCCCTCAACGTCAGATGCCGTACCGCTCATAGGTACTTGGTGATACTCATCACATCTGCTTTTGATTAAATTACACAGCAAAGTAGTTGGTCTGGATTCGTTGAAATGTTTCATATGCATCAAAAGATAACTTATGGGTTTCATGCATACATATGCCGCCCTATATCAGTTCAGAGTATATAATATTTAAGTAATTGATCTCTTTATTCATGTGGTGACCAAAGTAACGTCGATTTGATGGTCAGTCAACCAGTGAACCCGCTGAGAAAGCTATGACCGCCACTGTCAACTAGAAAAACTGTTTAAACAAACGTATTATTCTGTAAAATGTAAATATGTGACGTACGTACAGTAGGAATTATTCTGATATTGTGACACTTCATTCGGTAACGCACTTAAACGTGTACAACAAAGTCCTCGTTAAAATTTGTCATGTTCAACGCTGGTTCTAAATTAGTCTTTCAGCACCTCAAAAATATTTAATCATAGGCACATGAAAGTGCACTTTAGAAATAAATATATATATTAACCTATCTACTACTACTGTCATTTACAGTGTACATATGTCCATAATTATATCAACTTCAATCTGCAGCACCACGAATCCTCACATGTTACATGATTTAACTATGCCCACTGCATTATTGTAAGTTCTATGTAGATGATACGTGGAAAGCTAGACAAAGAGGCATAAAAAACGTTGGACGAAAGGAATTTAATCCAACTCATTTGACTAAAACTTTTCGTACTATCACTCAGTACTTCATAAAATATTCAAGTAGATCAACATTTTAGTCTGGTACACTTTCTCATCTTCTTCTCATCGCCAGTTGTGAGGAGTTCTGAAGATGAACACAGAACTATCATCCTTACTTTCTGTAGAGTTGAGCTTGTTCAATTTTGCTTACGAATAAGTGTATATCTCAAATCGTTACCCTCAAAATTTCGGTATCCGCCCAATTTTTTTTAGAATACTATGTTGACAAATTATATATATGCCATTGAAAAGGATGGCAAATACGAGTGTTCATTTTATTTCAAGTATTACTCTGTATATTGAAAAATACCAGAATATGAAAGTGGGATTAAATGGGGATTAAGTACGAAAGGGAAAGCATATGGATGCCAATCAGTAATATGACATTGTTATGGTTACTGTCAATATGGGCTTTAGGCAAAGATTATACACGTTTATTCTGTAAACATGCCATTACAGAATAAAAGTTGAGTTCTGTATGTCATAGGCATAAAGAATATGTGTCATATTGAACTCATAATGAACATAAGTAAACGTTCCCCAGCAATAGACATGAAGTGTTTATGGTAGGATTTACTTGACTTTACTTGATTTACTTTACATATTGGTGTCCCAAACGCAATATTTCAGAAAATGATTTTTCACCTAAATATTTTATTTCAAACCCGGTCATTTAATTAGCGATTAACGCGTTACTTGGATACCAAAAATTGAGTCATCGTGATAGAATAATTTTATATTCGAATGAAATCAAGGGAATCATAAGTAACAGTACTACAGAAAAGAGTATATTTTTGTCGATGGCTTACAAAGAAGTGCAATTGAACTATGAGTTGACATGGTTTTTCACAACGTGCTTTCACTTTGAAAGTTGTACCATTTTTTCAATCAAACATCTGTACTGCAAATAGTAAAATATGATTCTAATTTTCTAATTTTTTAAATTTTAATCTCACCTCACCCGATCTACGCCGGTTCTCAAATAGGAGGTGATTCCCTTAAATCTAAATTTATCTACATTGCCATGAATTGCAACTCTATTGCAACAATTTTTTCAACAAATTTCAGTCACGATACTTCTTTCTTTGACCGTGTTCCTTAATTTGGTCGCCGAAACGGTATTATCTAAGTATTACATTACAAGATTTCAGATAGTTTCAATGAATTAATGAATACAATTACAATTTTAAGCTTCCCTCCTCATCTGATGCAATTCCGCTCCTCGGTTAGGTTTAATCATTTTCAAACTTTCCAAATATATAATTTGTCAGTTTATCCGCATACTCTCCTGTGAGATTCGGGTTTATGTGTGTATCTACCTGTGCACAATCTCGTAAACTTTCTCCAAACTAATTTGAGATGGAGATTGATCGCAAACTTGAATCTCACAGGAACGGCCAGTATATTATGGATATTATTCGGACTGTTTTAATGTCTCGCTTTATTGCAATTTTATTATAAATCTGATTTTATTTCACGACTTCATTCTCTATCCTGTAATGTCCTACCCTGTAAATACTTGAATCACTATTTTATTGTCAAAGTTTAAATTTAGACCAATTTGTACTGCTTGCTGAGATCAACTGCATCACACGCTCTTGATAGAGATTTTTTCCTCGTGTGTTGCGTGAATTGAAGGTTTGATTGTGAGTTTGCCTGCATATTACATATAAATTTTACACCTTATTACAAAATGGTGTATCATTTTGTGCCAACAATACCACTACACACGCCCAAAGGTTATGCATAACTAGTTTGTAACATACTTGCGTTCTTGTGCAGTGAACACTACACTTTTAACTTTTTTGTCCAGGTATAACCATTCTTCTCTCCCTTACTGTTTTCTCAATGTTAGTGACAGAAATCTTGCCACGCACCAGTGATGCAATTCCTCTTTTAGGCAAGAATCAAGTCTGAAATTTAACTTACATCAAGTCGAGTTTTTTTTATTAATTTTAGAAGCGACCTATTTTCGTTGAAAACATTCAACACTTAACATGCCAAATAATGCATTTTACGATTTAAATAGGTGAATTTTGTCACATAACAGCTTTTGATCTATTTTGTCTATCGTGAGTGACCACTTGTAATTGTGAAATTTAACATTTAAAACCTGGCTGGCAAAACTATTAATCTGTCGCAATAATCATTATGCCCTACTTACTGCTACTTGTCAGTTGTCGGCACGTACGAAATAAATTTTCCATAATAATCTGTTGTTCGAAATAATAAGCTGACCCACACGCACTAATTCTAAGATACATTTTTATCTACTAATCACACTTATTAACTTTTCCTTCGCAAAGCGCAGACTAATTAGGATACACTCAATTCTGCATACATTCATCTACATGCATTCCCTCAGAGCATCGTAATGTGAGAATCATGAGATTTGTATCAGCCAAATGATAACCACAGACCAAATACACATGTGCTACCACTGACCCCTACAGAAATAAACATTACACAACTGATTTTTACCGTTGACCTTATATGCATACATAAGAGACGGTATCTTGGATGTTAACGAATTTGTGAAATTTTTTGATTTTCATGGTTTCATAAGAAAGCTCTGAATTAATTTTACAGAAACTTTCTTTTTGCGGATTTATTTTGCAACAACGTCTGAAATTTCATAGATGTGTTGCAGTTTTTGATAAATCTATATGCGTCGAGCCATGGGCGACAACTTTTGAATCTTTTGATTCTAAAATTTGAGGTGACCATGCAATATTTGCCTGGCCATCATATTTATTAACTTTTGAAGTCATGTTTTGACTTTATTTTTCATTTTTAAAATGCTATTATGCATTTTGAGAGAAGAAAGACCAACTATCGCTGTTTTTATTATTCGTTTTGTTACATTTTGTGCTACCGAATTTTGACAGCTATCGTGTCTTGCACAAATATAGTGCGCCGTGTTTTGCATCCAAGACTGATTTTTGTCGTGTAATATTAAACTACGTTGCTTCGAACAACAACGCGTTTTCACATGCATCATTTCAATCATTGTCTAGTTAAGTAGAACCGTTTGATAATGATCAGCACTGCCACACGAAATGCTTACGTAGGAAGAGAAGCTTAGTAGTGGAAGAATGGGAGAAAGCCTCTAGAAGAGCAATGCGAATCAATATGACCATGTTATCACACTACACACAGTGAAAGCATTTGATGATAAGTAGTGAACCCCTGTTTGCGTGTTGATTACGTACACTAAACTCTTTGCTTGTTGTATAACTGCTGATAATAAATCTGTAAGTGATTTCTAAAAATCTCACTGACAGATATTAAAAGTGCAGCTTGATTGAGCCCGAGCCATGGTGTGATTGTATTTCGTCAAAGAAACTGATTATTTGTTACAATGGGAATGCAAACCCAGATATTTTCAACGAAGTTTGATAGACCAAATCTTTATAACAAACATTAACACGAAACATTAATACGAAATACTGGACATGAGTTAATGGCGCTGAAAGTTCGCGAAAACGCTCGGTTTTTCAGGCATAAACTACGCTATGTGGTCAGACGGCTCTCTTTTAAAGTGGTGTACAGTTATTTTAGTTATGGAGAGTATTACACTAAGGATAAGTGCTGACATGACAGGTTACATTATTTTTAAGTTGAACTTTTTAAGAGTTTAGGAATTTTTTTATTGTTGCGACGCGATAACTAGCTCACTAAAACGGTATCGAAGATTCAAATGAAAGAATGAGAGGGTTCGTGAGAGCTTCATATACTTCGCAAATGGTGCATAACATAAGTTGCGAGGTTTGTGAACGATGTGAATTTTTGAGCAGAGAATGCATAGAATTTTGTATGCGAAGCTTACGCTATGCAGATCTAAAGCTCCGCAAATTTCGCATCTTGTTTATTTCCCATTACCAACTGCAATAACTTTAAACTTCATTGGAAATAAAAATGCAGATTCTAAAATTCGAGAGAAAGAGATAAAAAGAATGCTGAGTGGGCGAGCAATTTGGTCATTCACGAGGATAATTTCACAAACTTCGAAAGTTAACGAATTTAAGCTGCCAAACGACGTTAACGAACCTCATGAATCACACCCATAATAAGTAATAATCTTGCATATGCAATCAAAAATTTCATCAAATTTAATTTTTCTGCAAAGTAAAAGGAAATCTTCTGAAGAAATCTCGCCATAAGCTCAGTATTGCGAGACAGGGAAAACAGGTGTCATCGCATGTACTACTCGGTTCTTAGTTTAAAATTGGTAACATCAGATAAGTCAGCGTTAAAAATAACCCCTGGCTCGGGCTAAACATTAATTTGCTTGTAGTTTAACTATCACATGCTTCTAAAGACTTGCATAACATTCAAACGTAAATACATGCAATGCAAATTCAATTGGCTTGAGCTGTTTCAAAAACAAACTTTGTTGACTGTTATTTTACATTAAATTCGCAGTACAAAGGAGCTTTAATTGTGTTCACATAATAATATTAACATGTTTGCACTATATGCATGCCCTAGTGTATTAATTGTCAATTTGCTCATAGAGCTTCTTAATTCTTATTGTTAATAATGTGAGCGTTTTATTCAATCTGTTTTCTTTTTTGAGTGTTTTTTGATATACGATCTTAATCTGTACTAACATATTTTTACTATGATTAATAGGAACTTACTTCAATTGTATCATGTTCATGGTTGCTTCTTCAGTGGTATTAACTGTTGTCGTTTTAAACTACCATCATCGGACTGCCAACATGCACGAAATGCCACCCTGGGTAAGTTAATTCAATTAATTCTTGTTGTATTAAAAAAAGTAAAATATTTCGAATATATATTTTTATTAATCCACTACTAAAAACCGTTAAAGTTTTCTTCTCATTAATGCGCCTTTCTCTTCCTCTAAACGTGTCATTCTGCATGAATATTAAAACAGAGTACGTTAACTTTTGGACAGAATGAGTACTTGCGTAACTTTCACCTGCAAAAGTGTATACATGCGTAGGGGCTGTGAGATCCCACGCTAGGATAACGAATCATTATGTTCAATCAGTCCGCAGACATTGATTTTATGTCAAATTAAGTCTTACGCAATTTTTAAAGATTTTCAATAATAGGAATGTTCCCTTTATTAAAATAAGAGTTTAGAAGTGACATTCAGTTAAATTAACATTCCGCTGGAGCAAGAATTTGAACATGATTGCAAGAGTGCCAGATGCGGTATTAATGGGCTTACTTTGCCAGACGGCGACTGTCATTTTCCACTCTTTTCTAAAACTGCTCCTTTCGTGCAAACTCGTTGTGTGCAACTGTGGCCACCAGCCTAATTGAATCCTTGCACAAGACAAGGTTATTCTTCCGCCAGTTTCGGAATCAGACTAATAAAACAAAGCCGCATCTGAATGTATGTATGAAACAAGGCCACAAGACATGTTTCCCAGACAATCTAGCAAAATCACAAAGGGGGGAGAAACAAATTCAACAATAACAACACCCACATTTTCCATTATTCAATTCCGAGTGAATTGAAAGAGAGCGGAAGCCTTATTTTTCCTTCACCAACCACACAAATAGCGAGCTGAATACATGGCAGGTGGGAGTATTTTAGTTGATTGGAAAGTTTATGGCTGCCAGATTTTGGCAAGGAGTGCACAGGACATGGAAAAAGTCCGTTTTGCACTACGTGATAGGAGAGGATAAGTGAAAAAGAGATATAATAAAGATTAGATTGAGAGGAGAATTCTGTCGAAATCCATCCACAAGACAGATCAAGAAGGGCTCGACGGTCCCCAAAGGCCGGATGGATGGAATGACTGAGAGCAATCCACATCTTCCTCCAAACCCTCGACTTGTGTATCCCGTGCTACGTACACAATCTGAAATATGCTCACAAGCCAGGAAGCAGTGATAGCGGTGGGGATCTGCAAAATTTGTGGATGTGATCGAAATATATGGCTCACTTTCATTCTTCCTGCCCTTTCTCTGTATGCGATCCTTTCACCTCCAGTGTCTGCTCCTGCCTCCTTCTTTCACCTATTGCAATTTCAAGCCACGCAAAATCTAGCCTACCACCAAAACCCTAAAGAAGGACCGCATCATATAGCAGACAGTATTAAGAACAATTTGTGTCCAACTCCCAGGGAACGTAATTGCCTACAAACCCTAATTCCTTCTTCATATGCATAAGATGTTTATATCTGTAGGCCGAGCTTCTACTCTCAATGCCAAATTACTATACAGTTCAACTCCATGAAATTGTAGAAACCCAAATTACTTATAATTTTACCAAACATTTTACCCTTTCATAATTACTCAGTTGGAATAGACACATTGTAGCACCTAAATATTTACGTGGGAAAAGTAGCCCAAATCTGGTGGAAATGTGCGTAGATATGTATTTATATGCATGACTGTGTACCTTATGGAGGAAGTAAAACTGAAGCTTGATGATATAATTCGTCCCCATTGCAAACAAGTCTTGGCTTCACGTGACAATGTCGGCTCGGCCCAGTCATGATTCACAATAGTTGTTGATAAATTGAGGTTCGTGAGTTTCTCGTAGCAGTTCTTTAGACTTTCACCATCCGCATCCGTCGGAACTAAATAGGGTCGCATTGTTATTCCACTGCCGCTTTGTTAGTGAGTATACGTGCAATTTTGAGTTAGAAGGGCTTAAACATAATTTTACAAATTATGCATTGTATATTATATGTATAGCTATTGAAAAATAGTGGATTGGAAATAGTTTCATTGTTTACTGACGCAAAATTCAATTACTACATATGCACATCTGTTGAGTTAGGGATTAGTGGGTTAAGCTTAGAGGCACTTCTGGTTTCATCATATTAGGGGTAACAACCTTACATGTTCAGGAAAGTATACTGTTAACGTTGGCAATGATTTAGTTATTCGTCACCTATACGCTTTAAAATAAATATGCAGAAATGCAGAAATTCCTTCGTGACTTTCTCTCTAATATTTTGTGCACATCTGTGGTCAAATAGATTGTGCAACACATTTTGTTACCTTCTTGACCTCACCAACGTGGGAAATTTCAGGCGATGGGGAGATCTGGCTATGATTTTTTAGTGCCATAGCTCTTTTTGGCCCATTAATATTTAATTGTATAAGGTCAAAATTTTGAGTTATTTATTCAACTTGACTAATTCAAATCCATGTTGCCGACTTACATCGTCAACTTACCCTGTAGCAAACTGCACACTATTATTATCATGGATTGTCATATAAGATGCAGGTCAATTCTCTTCAACCACATTCGCCGAGTAATTATAAATAGGTCACAAGACGTTCGAATTTTATAAGTTATGGAGGCAATGAACATCTCTTCTGGTATTGTGAGTAGTCCTTAACTCTAATTGGACGTCAGAATTATATCTATGCTTTAACTTACATATTTGCAATATAGGAACTACCAGATTAGCTAACCTACATACATATTTACATTCCGTCAAGGTAGTGTTCACCTCAAATAACGATAAACACAATATTTTGGCATCATTTCCCCACTACTTTAGAACAATTCGGTCCACAAACAAAGTAAATTAGAGACAACTGCACAAACCGTTATTTATATATTCAGTCTACGCCTAAGAAGGCAATTCAGCATGAAAAAGGTGTGGCAAAGACTGCCCATCATTAATTATGCATTTCGTGGCTTCAGTGCTCCTGTTCCTCGCATCAAAGAAAGAACAAAATGGTTCTGTTTGTGTGACAACATGGTAATTAGCACTCGTAACAATAATGAGATTGTTTCTATACATTGGCATGGTGAAAGTACACATTTATTTTTAGGTCTTTTTTTTACATAAGTCTCAATATCTAATTTTTAACAGTCTCTTTTACTATTTATTTACCTCGTGAAAAATACAATTTCGGTTCGTTTGATTCATATTCCGAGTCAGAAAAATGTCTGCTGCTTTAGCGTTCAGGGCCAGTTATAATCCCTCCGTGGTCGTACCGACATACACAAATGTACCTACAGCTACCAAGTATGTAATCTCAATCACATTGTTGGATATCGGATTTTCCGCTCTTGTGCTGACTGAAAAGAAAGAAAGCAAACGTGGTGGTTGACCATGATTTTATCCTGGCGAAACCGGGAGGGAAAGTGGATCAGTCGAGTTTTGAAGGGAATTGGAAAACACTGCACTTACTTGATCTCACGTCACATTGTGTGCTCGTCGTCGGTCGGTGGTCCACTCACGGTTTTTTCCCATCTACCTCCACACACACTCGCTGCCCCTTTTGTCAACTTTTGTTAGAAATCCAATCATTTTCCTTTCTTTCTTGATACGCTTTTCCAATGACGGCCGTTATTTCATCGTTTTTTGGTATTTTGGTCATAAACTCATTCTGTATCGGAATCGTGAATTCACACATCCACGTTAATGTCGCTCCGTGATATTTATTGAACTTGCTCGCTTTATACTGGTCCAATTAAGAAAAAATGTGAAATGGCTGGAGACAGTATGCGATAGGAAATGATGTACTTATTCTCTTGTCACTTGTTGGAACACAAATTGTGTTACATAATTAGACCAAAACTCATTTATAGAATTACGTTATAAAAAGTTATGTGTATGGAATGATGCAGTACTAATTAGCTCCGTTATTTTTTTTATACTTCTACAGGTGAAAACAGTATTTCTGCAGTGGTTGCCCTGGATTCTTCACATGAGGTAAATCAGGCGTCTTGTAAGCCATGATCAAATGACATGACAAGATTCGACTTTAATGGTTATGTATAATATGTCGAATGGAGGAGCACTACGTTACTCAACTTTATCTACCCGATCTAATCTAATCAATATTATCATATTGTAGCCGTCCAGGAAGAAAAATTACTCGCAAATCGATTCGAGAGGAACAGAAAATGAAGGGATTCAAAGATATCAAGGAAAGGTCATCCAAGTCCTTGTTAGCCAACGTGAGTGAGATAATTAAGTATTAATAATTCATTGAGGGTTCATGAGAATTTTAAGGAAAACGTGAGTTGGAATGACATATTATAACTAACTGAAGAACGGTATACACAATTTGTTTCTTGGTCGTCATCATACGTTGATCACATGTCGTAAATTAATGCAAGCATAAGCATAGAGAAGGGAGGAACAGGCATTTTGTCAATTTCTTCCTGAAATTATGTTCAGCCAGTAGAAGACAATCAACACTGTGTACCTACTTACATATGCCATAGCACAGTATGATACTGTCAGTATCGGACAGATTTGTTTATCAAGCTCAAAACAATTCTACGCCCATAAATGTTCATTTTAGTATATTTATAAGGTTATACTAGATGAAAATATGAAGCTAAAATCCCTTTCGTCAGATCATGCACAACATCAATTAATGATAATAATTTGCAATTTAGGTGTTGGACATGGATGATGACATTCGGATGAGCTCTTCGTACCTTAGGTAAGACATGCACACTTCAGGTGAAGGGCTCAATGACTTTACCTCTCGTCCTCTGTTTCAAGGATGGAGACATCGGACATGTCATCCCCATGTGCTCTTGCCCAACGTGACCTCCAAGGCATTCTCAGAGAAATCCGCTTCATTACGGCACGGATGCGAAAATCCGAGGAGGACGCTGAGGTTGTTGGAGACTGGAAATTCGCCGCAATGGTCGTCGACCGCATGTGTTTAATTGTTTTTACAACATTCACCGTCGTGGCGACGATAGCTGTGCTCCTTTCTGCCCCACGAATCTTGGTTTATTAAAGGGTGAAAGCATTTCAATATTTCCTCAAAGAGCAACTCAACAATCACGAATTTCCAAGTAATAGGAATCAACTACGAAAAATTAAGAGTTAACGGAATTGCAAAAAAAGTTACAATGGAGGCAATTTCTGAAATCATGAGATATAAAATATATTTAATCAACATAAAATAAATACTAGGACCACAACTAATATTAATTACATAATAATCTCTGACAATTTAACCAACGAACAAAATTATTCGTGAAACAATTTTAGAGAATTTAAACTGCTTAAAACTATGGTTAAAAGAACGATTACTTTATATTTCAATACCATTCACCACCAATATTGTCAAGTCATACATATATTTAAATGTAAATTAAAGTATTAGCGAATCTCTAAGGACGGAAACCCAAATCACGGGTATATTTGTATGTACACATACCATAGGAAATAGCAGAAGGACAGCAGCATGACTACAATTTATCACAAGTACTACACACTTATAATAAGTAGCTTACAGTATCATAATAAAACTGTGGTTTCGCAAAATGAGCTTCTCATGAGGGTGGTCAGAAGCAGTAGACAATAAAGCTTATATTCAGAGTGAATTGAGGAGGAGACAACGTACAAGTATGACTTAACTCAAGTGAGATTTCATTTCCTCTAATGAGAAATTATAAGCCCCATTTGCAACTTCATTTGCCTCTTTTGAATGCTTGGAACAAAAAACCATGTCCAGTTACGTTTACTGAATAGTGTGCAAGTTATAAAGAATTAAATTCACTTATAACGTATTTAAAAGTCGTCCGTCAGTAATGAATTGGAGGCTTTGAACTCGTTAAGTTTCAACTTTTTGATAAATTGACAACTAAAGAAGGTGAAGGGAGAAGAGAGAAAGAGAGTGAAAGTAGATTTCCAGGTTTGTACGTACGTCTGCATTAGAATGTGAAAAGCGAGAGCATGTCGGGGAGGACGGTGGTGGTGGTGAACGAGGAGGATGGCACATTTTAAAGATGAAACTTGCTTTCTCTCTCTCTCTCTCTCTCAACTTTTAATAACTCTTGGCAGCTCCATCCTTAGCGCGGACAAAGAAGGTTTTATTGTAACAAACGATCGCAATTATTACACGTTATAACCAAACCAGCATTGGTTCGATATCGATTTGACCTCATTGTTTCCCTTGTTTCCACAAGAACCAGTGATTTTAGCTGGGGAAAGGTGGTGGCACTGCTGTGGTATGTATAATATCGATGCTTTGATCAAAAATTTAATTTCTCGTCGTTTTTTTACGCTTTTCTACTTTGTGTCGTCCCCACCAGATCCGTTGCGGTTGAGATCAGAGAACGTGATTTGCATCTGAAAATTCAATTACTCTCATGTTTTATTGTGGGTGATATGTACATATGTAGCAATCGGTGAAGTTGCCATCCTATTCCTGCGGGTTACTTATCCAGTAGTTGCTTTCCAATTTCAAAATGGACGTGAGTGGACGAGTTGCAATGGTAGGAAAAATTCATTATCCGCGAATGAACGTGAAACCACAGGATCATCAAGTAGAGAGAATCCATATATGCATGCAGCATGGAGCAACAGCAGGCGTGGTATTAATGAAAGCTCGAAAATCAGGTTGTCGGCTTGGTGACGGAAGAGTGAGTAAAAGGCTGGTCGGTTGGTTGTTGGTTAGTTGGAGGCGAGGAGGAGGAGGAATATATTCGTATGTAGGTGACATGTTAGGGTCGAGGTAACGAAGGAAGGAAGGATGGGGACGACGACGGCTTGGTGGTGGTCGTGGCAAGGTAAAAGAGTAAATGAGTCTATCAGGGAATTAGCAGGCTCGAGCATAACGAGAAACCACAAAGAAAGCGTTTCGGTGCGAGATCACAGAATTTGGATTCCATTAGCAGTAACTTTGCTACAAAAAGGCTCGTTGAGGGAGAAAGTCGGCCCAGAGAACGTGATGTGGTTCCCTTAAACTGCTCCATCTCTCTCATATTTTATAACGGACTTTTATAGGACAAAAATGGAATAAAATAGAGCCGCAACTGGCTGCCTGAGACTGCACGTGTCCTCAATGACATAGACAGAAGTATATTCGATGTGCTTGCTCAACCAAAATGAAAACCAAAGAAATCGGAGCATTCTGCTGTGAAATGCGGCTGGCTCATCCCCCCATCCTTGAATCAAAGTCAAAGGAAAATTTCGATCCACCTGCAGCTTTTTCTACTTTCTCCCCGATCCTTAGCCACCACCACCACCACCGATCCCACCTTTCGCCCCGAAACCAGATATGCTTACACGCATATTCGTAACCTGCATAATGCTCTAATCATTATCCACAATCCTCTCGTCCTCTTCTTCTCCTTCACTCAGACATCATGTCCAGCCTCACGAATGCACAGCAGGAGGACACTTTCACTGAAAATATGCAAATACCAATTGATTTTCTAACCTTTTGACTAAATTAGTTTTTATGCATGTGATATCCACTACAGTTAATGAGTATCGATGGCTAATGTTAATGAGTAATCTCGTTTTTTTACCTGGAGCTTTTATGTGCATACACGTTTACGCCTCATTATTCGCCAGTTAACGATAGGAAATTTTGACTATCGACAGTTTTTGTTTATTATGTATATAAGGCGTACACATCAATGTGCTTAAATACATACTTGCTTTAATCATAATTTATGGATATTACGCCAAAAATATAAACATCGTGTGCGTTCAGAATCTCAAAAGAAAGTCAAAATGATAAATATGCACATATTATTATACAAGATAGCCGTCAGTTAATTGAGAAAACAAATATAACTTTTAAACAATTTTCATATGTACATATTAGCAACCGGTTTTACATGCAAATTTGATTTTTGAAATTTTTCAAGTTTGGGGATTGCAAAACAGGAAAGTCTTAAACCGTGTTCACTATTAAAAAACGATTTTCAAAATTATTCAAAACGGATTGAAATTTTACAATTGAGATTATGAGAAATTGTATAACTCAGCAAATTAGGCCAGGACTGCAGGGTTCGATATCGCTCAATTTTTGCTGCCAACCAAACTAAAAACTAAATGCTAACTAGGTTTTTAATAACACTACTTTTTCATGCAAGGTCCTAAATGTATTTTTTACACAACATTTTACATAGTAAATACGATCACATCTAATAATATTTATACGAGCTACGTCACCTTTAACTAAATCACATTGAGTAAGTAAATCGTGTTTGAGAATATAAATACAGAGCAATTTTGACAATGTAAGAGGCGAAAATTAATGCATTTGATAATACATGTATCAATAATTTTTTAAAAATTAATATGCACTTTTTCAGTTTATAAAGCGATGATATACTGACCGTTTAGATATAAAAAGTAAAAAAAAATGTACAAATAGAGTTAAATGAGTGGTGGATAAAATTAATCAAGCTTTTTTGTTGTTATGCATACCTTGAGAGTATTCATTACGAGTTCGAATGTTCGCATCGCAAAATAATTTTTAAAAAATTGCAAGATGCAAGATGCACAACTTCGCAAATGAATTTTCAAGCCAAATTTTTTTTCAAACTTGCGAACTTTGTTTTATTTTGGTTGCGTTGCTAACAATGCGAACTCGTAATGAATACCCTCAGTACATATATATGGACCGTGTGTAAATTATGCAAGAGTTGGTGGCAATCAACCTGACCCATTATATAATACACACAACTACATACTTTTTTAGTCTACGTGTGTAGCACATATTCAAAGCAGCAGGCTGCTGATAAATATATTGTGTTATTTGGTGCTTATACAGATAACGATAAACAATAGTTGTAGGATTAAAGTTTTACAAGTACTGAAAATTTCCACAGTATCAATCATTGGTGAGCATGCAAATTACAGAGTGTAAAATTTGATGATCTATATATGGAAAATGGATAATAATGTATTTCTACATTGTACAAAATCACACACCATATTGTTATATGATTGCATGATATAGAGACTTACGTAGTATGAAATGTACGTTAATTTGGAAATTCTAATGGAAATGAAAAACAAACCACTTGTAATTTTTGTTCTAATTGTAATATCCAAAATTCATTTTAGTGATAATGCAAACGAAGCTACAGTTAAAAGCAGATTTAACGAAAAATTACACACCACACTATTTCTGTTATTTGTGTACATATGTGAGAAAAAATATGATAATATGCAATCTTAAATACAAAGTATGTAAACCTATATTACGTTTAATTAAGCATAAATAACCAAATATGTAAATAAATATTCAGCGAGGAACATGGTCATTCCACCACCATCGTTATATTAATAATGTTAATAAATAACTCGACACATAACTGAATTTACAATGAACTGCATGACCGACGCACTTCTCCAAGATGAATAGTATTAAAACTAATAATGTAATCTGTGACTAAGAGTAGATGAATACTCAATTGATCAAAACTAATTAAAATGAACTGGCAGAGAGCTCAGATTTAAATAAACTTTACATCGATTGAATATTTCAATATTTTCTGCTTTTATGTGCATTTATTACATTTCTTACGGTAATGAGGCCCACGGGGGCATAAGAATACGACGAATCAAGAAAAAATTGGCGAGACACGTGTTACAAAAAATGAAATGATGATTTGGGAATTTCATGTGAGAATTTTTGTTGAGACTTCCGGAGAAAGTGAGACCTTGAGTCTGAGTGCCCCAGCTGTCGACAACGTGTGCGGGAAGCAAACGGATTCGAGAGCCGTGATTGGCATCAACGTTGGCTGGTCGTTGGCGCGAGGGATTTGTGGGAGGAGCTTGGGTGACATGGGAAGGATAGGCAGTCATGCTCCACCCACCCACCGTGTGCGCAACCGCTTCGAGGTCCTTTTTTAATAATTTTTTAACTCACTCCAATTTTAATCACTCTTGGGCGACGTAGATAAGTAGTGGCACGGCGAAACGCACTCATTCTTGCTACGTGCCTACGTGCTGGAGTGAAAGTGAACAATGCACAGTGTGAATAATAATGAATAATAGCAATAACTGCAATTTAAAAATATAACAGTTTCTGTCGCTCTTAAAAAATATATTATTTACTCTCGTTTTTTTAAGTCGTTTAGGGTTCATTGATCTCAAGCGTTTTTGTGAAGTAGTGTTTTCTAGAACTTTTGAAATGTGACCTGAGGCCGGCTTTTCACCTTTTCAAGTGAGTTGACCTTTTGTTTAGTAACTCTGTGAAGAAAATTATTTTCACGACTTCGCCTCTTTTTCCGTCTTCGTTTTCTGCTCACAACCTTCGAAAACGACAGTCACGAAAGGGCACAGAAGCAATGAGGGCGTGATTTTGAGTCGTCGTGTCGAATTCCACATCCATAAATAAGTTTCGGCACTCTGGTGACACCCACCCCTTATCTACTTTACAGGTAAGGAGAAGGTCACAACTTCTTGTATGTGATTGTCAAATCTACCTCATAGTTTGAAAACTAAATTTGAACTGCTTCTTTCCAGTTTTGAAAAACTGCGGTTATACCAGTGTAGCAAAAATGGACTCTGACCTACGGGTATGTTCGGATATTTATATTTTATGATGTGCTAAAATATTTTTTGTCAAGAGAAAGCAATTTAAACATTTAAATTTAACATATATATGTAATCAAACATTTAACAGCAATTAAACAATTTTTTAGAACATGGTGATGTCTTTCCGAGTAACGGAACTTCAAACGTTGTTAGCTTACGCTGGGAAGAATAGAAGTGGTCGCAAGAATGAGCTGCAAGCAAGGTCTTTGGAACTGGTTAAGAACAAATCCTCCCCAATAGTATCAAAGATAAAAGAGTTGTACAGATCAACCCAGTAAGTCATTTTGAGTTTTTAATGCATTCCAGAATTTTCGTATTACTTTGTTAACGTTCGAACAAGAGAAACAAAAGGATTTTTAGAAGCTTATATTCCTAATTTTCCTCGTTACTTTGTTTTGCACCCAACAACCATGGGTTTTCACTTGGGAGTTATTTTTGAATATTTAAACTCACTCAATTCATGGTATGATATGATAAGTATGCACATTGATTATGTTGTATTAGTTGTATGTTACGGGCGGATATTGTATTGCCAGCAGATATGATACTATACTGTGCTAATCTTGAAGACGAGTCACTTAAACTATAAATTTCAACTAGAAGCTCATTTTAAATTAACTGATGGGGAACTAGAGATTAAGTGCATAAGGAGACCGCCCCAGGGCATGAATTGGCGGCTGAAGTTCAGTAGTAGTCAGGCTTTGGGAAAGTGTTCAGTGCACTAAGAAATGCACATATTTTTTAGTTTGCAATTACGTTACAATTATATTATAATTATATTACAATTTTGAAAAATCAAAGCTACACATGTTTGTTGTTAACACACCGCCTAATCTTTACAGGCAAACAATGAGTATGGCTGGACAAACTTCGGGAAATATGGCTAATTCATATGCCATGTCCAATGGTATCCCCCACACTCAAACTAGGCTGTATACAACTTCATCAGCTTTTGGCGGAGCATCGGACAAAGTTCTGCAGGTAAATATCCTATCAAACCGAATTGTTGCTAAATTTTTTGAATATCCACTCTAATCTTCTTCTGGACAGGGTATTACATCTGCGTTTATGTTCAATGCTCAAAAATCCCAACCACAAATTTCAATGCCAATATGTCCAGACGTTAAGATGAAACGTTTACCATTTTATGATGTAACGAGCGAACTGATCAAACCAAGCAGCTTAAGTATGTTTCATTAATTCTTTTCAAATTTTCCTTCCCTAACCTAACACTTTATCCTAATAATTGTTACTAATGCAAGTCGAACCAAATTTGTTTAGTGCCGCAAGCAATGAACAGATCACAAGAAGCAAGTTTTCCATTTTGTTTGACACCACAACAGGCGTCTGATATTAGCGAATCAAGAGAATATGTTGCCGGCACTTTGGGAGATCAAAAACTACAATACACGGTTCAAGTGAGTATTTTAGGTATTTTTTTACTGTACTAAAATATATATTTGCACACTAATCGATCTTATAACCATACACAGGTTCAATTACGATTCTGCTCCTTGGACACATCATCTAAAGAGCAAGACGACCAATTTCCTCCTAACCTGGTCGTAAAAGTGAACTCAAAAGTAGTTCCACTTCCTCATCCTATTCCGAGTAATCGTCCTGGAGTCGAGCCAAAACGTCCATCAAGACCGTTGAACATAACAAGTTTTGTTCGTTTAAGTCCGACGACAACAAACACAATTACCGTTGGATGGGCATCTGATAGCTCTCGTGGTTACGCATTATGCGTCTATTTGGTTAAAAAAATGACATCTTTGGACTTGCTCACACGTTTGAAGCAAAAAGGCCCTCGACCTGCAGATTACTCCAGAGGACTGAGTATGTTTATTTCTTTATATAAATATATATATTTCATATATAATATATATCGACATACATGTATATAATGTATATTTCAGTTAAAGAACTATGTGCGAAAGACGACGGAGATTGTATGGTAGCAATGTCGTCTCTGAAAGTCTCGATAGCATGTCCTCTGGGAAAGTGTCGCATGAGTCTACCTTGCAGAGCAACTACTTGCAAACATTTACAATGTTTTGATGCTAACTTGTTCTTGCAAATGAATGAAAGAAAGCCTAGTTGGGTTTGTCCAGTTTGTGATAAGCCGACCTTATTTGAAGACTTAAGTATTGATGGGTACGAAAAATATTACTAAAGGTTAATATTAAAGGATTTAAACTTAAGTTATTTCATTATTTGACTTCTTGTTGTAGGTATTTCCAAGAGGTTATCAGTAAAATGTCCAATAGTGAAAGCATGGACGTCGAATTATTGCCAGACGGATCATGGAAAACAATGTCAATAAAACTAAAAAAAGAAAAGGAGGAGTGTAGTCCTCCAACAAAGGTGCACACAACCTCTACATCCTTTATATTTATAATAACAGTCAATAGTATAAATATTTTAGTATACTATGAAAAATGTAGTAGCAACTAGCAATACTTTTAAACCGCATGTATATAATACAGACTACATTTTTTTCAGAAAATGAAACCCGATTCTTCAAAAATGAATCAGACCATTAATCTTGATGATGATGATGTTGAAGAGAGTATTCCTGTTCCCAAGTGTGAACCTAATGTGACTGTGCCCCCACCTCAGACTGAATCACGAAAGGAAAAAGATAGCGGCCCGGCTGTTTGCATTGACTTGACACTCTCTAGCGACGAGGAAAGTGATGACATACCTGTTATCAGACCAAGACGGAAAACTGGAAAGAAGCCGAATTACGTGATAGAGGACGACTCTTCTAGCTCTAGTAGTTCGGGTAAGACATGAAAGATATCTAGAAAAACCAAATTGCCTGGTCGTCAACAAAGATTTTGCAATAAAAAAGTAGCACATAATTAATAATAAGTTTTCTTATTTGATTTTAGGTTCAACCACTGATGGATCTCAAGGTGCAAATAACGCAGTTCCTAGTCCAGTTGCACCATCCAGTCCCGCTTGCATTACTTTAGGTAATAACATTTTTTTTACTTCAGATACTTTAGCAGGAAAATGATTTAATATGAAGCGTATTTATTCATAACAATTATCATCGTAGAAGTAACAAGTTTAAATAACTGTGAACTTTAGATAGTCGCAGTCCATCCCCTGCAGACCCCCCACCGTCAAGAAGTGAAACAAGCAACCACCACAGTACTACTGGATCATCTTCGTCAGCTTCTACCAATAGGTGCGGCGGATCGTTTTCGTCAATAAGCCGGAATTCTATGTCAGTTTCGTCATCATCTGCTGCTGCTGTGACAACATCACGCACCGATGTCAGAGTAGGTTCCGGTTCATCGGTACTTAACAATTAGGCTGTTTAAAACACACGGGTATCATGGTATATTCATGTTATTTTTTTAAATTTGACATATATTTCCATTCAGACATTCGATTATGGTCATACTGCACTTGGGCAATCAAGTGGATATGCCAGAAGTAACACGACATCACAACCAGTGTCAGTGTCCCCAAACCTCTTTGCTCCTAGTGGAGCCGGATATTTGCCATACGATGGCCAAAATATCTGGGGGTCATCCGGGTCAAACTCCGGCAGTTTTCAGTAATATCATGAATGTTAAAGTTTGCTTGTGCTTGAGTTATTATTTAATACCTAGAAATATCAAATCGTTAGCTAATTACCTTTTTGCAAAAAAATCTGTTGAGCTTGAGTTTCTTTTACCTAATTAATAATTATTTATCTTTGGGTTTGCTAAATACCTATTGGTGCAGTAGTACATGAATAGTTGAACCATTATCTAAAATTAGATGTTTATCTGGTTGCATTAAGTGTATGTTGTATTACAGGAATCCGTATCCAGCCCCGGATTTCAGTCAACTGGAATACAACCCTCTGGATTATTTTAATTATGACTCTAGAGGTAATAATAATGGATATCGTTGGCCATAATTTTATATCGTATATATTTTTGATCAAGAACGTACTATGTAGAATCTTTCACAAATCCCTTTTGCACACACAATGTAAAATTTAATTAATCGCTTCTTTTGCGGAGCCCTTTCCCTGTTTAATGGGTGAGTTAGTTAAGTGAATATTTATTTATTTTTAATTATGGGACGTTCATTAAATGAACAGTACAAATTCGCAGTAATAATCTTATAATAATAACTCCTTAATAAGTTTAATTATTGAGTGTTACAATGATATTCTAAATTAATAATCAATGTATTGCCTTGCAATCCTTTCTTGTATCTTTTGTATGATTTGTATTCTTTTTTACAAGAAGAACAACTTACAGTGTTATTGCTAAGATTAATAATAATAATAACAAGAGTACGCTTCTACCAAAAACCCACTGATCATTATGTATTATCATTATCGTTTGATAAGTATTTATATTTGTCAAGTATTTTGAATGCATTACTGTATACACTCGTTGAAAATCTTGTGGGAATGACTGAACAAATCTCAAATTAATTATTAAGCGTATAGATAACATGTGGTTTACTTTTCCTCAACTCAACCAATAAAGGATAGTAATGCGAGCATGCTTGGCTGACCACATTGGAGTAAGTTTTATGCTCCAAAAATATGTCAGTTGCATTCTCCAAATATTTTTTTACACGTACAAATAAAGCGATTCGTGCATTAAAATTTTAAAATTTCCGAAAAGGTATTGCCAACGGTCTAATTCAGTAATTCTACAAAATCTAAGGCATGCGATTCCCGTTTTGGTTAGTGGTGCAAATCATTTGACACGGAGATAAGTGGCCATAAATTTGACCAATTTATCATTTCAGAAATTTTGAAAGTTTTAATGCACGAATCGATTATTTGTATATGAAAAACATTTGACAAATGCAATTAGTTTTTGGGAGCATAGTATAATGCCAAAACTATTTTCTCAGAAATTCCGAAACTCGCCCACAGTTCTATAAAAAATTATTTTCCAAAACCAGTTGCAGAAAGTGTACATATTTGGTCAATGTATTTGTTCAGTGTACGATGTTTGAGCTAAATCGGGAATATCGATGAGCATAGGACAAATGTAGTTGAGAAAAAGTGAACCATGTACGTATTCTTTACAATGAACTGACTGACTGAGAATTTATTTATACTAAAAAAATCTACCTCAAAAGTTTCTAATAAAATAAGACAAGACATTATTCCAAAAACATATTATATTACTTATTAGTATATTGTAGATTTTTTGTACTCCGTTGTCTTAAGACGCGCACGTTATCCGGTTGGATTTGTGGGGTGGACTTTTCTCTGGGCGTTAGACTTTTTTTCGTAGTAACAGTCTGTTCTTGATTAGTCACAAATTTCCAGTACAAACTAAGATAACAAATTCCTATACCCAAGAATGTGTAATCGGAAACCAAGAGCAGTGGTAGAAATGGTAATTTAGGGATTAAAGCGTCACCTAGGTTCTCAAAAATGTAAACTGGTAGAAATCCCAGAATGTACAGAGTTTGATACCAGTTTAGCTTTGGTTTAACTATTTGACTGGCTACACTAGCATGGAACACTGTGAGTACGGCTTTTAAAACTATTTCAAATGGGGTGAACAATAGTGGAAATAAGGACACTGTGCCTGCCACAAGTGTCAGAAAAAACAAGTTTTGATTAAGGAGGGCAATCAGGGAAAAGGGAATAATCACGTTCAAAATTGCTTTTTCATGAACATGGTACCCTGAAAATTATAAAACAAATTATGCTCGCATGGCAGTGACAAGAATACTTTCAGACTCCAAAAAAACGAAAACTTTCAATCATTCCGAATTTAGACTAGCAGAATTAGTATAGTTTTATGGCAATTTTACCAAACATGAAGGATGTCCAGGCTGTCAAAGTCACAGCATAGATAAACGACGTTGGCGACGGGTTCCTCCACAGTGTCCACAGAATTGGCTGTTCAAACAAGGATTAAGTATTACGTAGACAAATGTACATATGAGGAACAGCTTTGTAGGATATTTTACTTATTAATCCGATACTGCTGCAGCTTATGCATATATGCAATGTACATAATCTGAAATAAGCTCATTGTAATCAACCCACCAGCATTGCGACTGCAGTGATGAGGAATGAGTGGATGGGCTGGACTTGAGGCAACACAGCCAAACTGCTTTCACCAACTAATCCAGAAGTTGCTCCACTTTTTCCAAGTCTCAAGCCTGATGACATGGGACAAGAGTCATGACATTTGCAATGTGATTAAAACTACTTTATACATATCTGGACCACCACTTGTCGTATGAAATACAACCAACACAGCTACATTCACATGTATTTAGGAAACGAGAGGTTCGTTGCGGCTTACCATATCCAAGTATGAGATCCAGAGAGTTATAGCCAGCCCAGATATTAGGTGCCCAGTAGGCATGAGAAAGTCCACGTTTAAACGGAAACAACCGTTGCAAAATCTTAAAGCAGAAATAAAATAAATCGTCGTGCTATCTATTCATCGCTAAATACAATCTGTTCAATATATTCAAAGAGAGACTGTACTATGGTCTTATAATATAATATAATACGCTCAAAACCTATGTGCCATACTTGGGGAATGTGCTTATAAAATGGTCCAAAAGCAACTGCAGCCACGCTCCCAACAATCCCCCAAAGGCGAACAGAGGACCGAAATTAATTGCCCTCGGAACCCCACGACGATCCGTTGTGATGCAACATGTTCTCAGCAAGTAGATGCCAATGGCAGGAGCAATGTATAAAAATATATGTTTCAAACTTAGTAAGCTTGCAAATAAAAATGCGCCTTGGAAGCATTTTCCCTGTGAAAGTACATAAAAATAAACACGCATATTATGCAGAAACATTTTTAACAATAATGACTATGGCTAGATTAATGAAAATATTATAAATACCTTGCTAATTCTAGCAATTGAGAGCATTAGTATACCAAACAAGAATCCGTTATACTGAAAATGTATGTGATCCACCATGAAAAGTCCACCGTTGATAAAAATCAAACCAAATAATTCTGTTGCATAATTTGATTTGGGGTTTGTTCCTGTCTTTGGAATTATCAGAGACATTACTTTGGAGCATCTATGAAGCAGAGGCAAAATTTCGGATGATAATATTTGCTCATTTAATTTATTTACGAATATTTACAACCGTCTCTACATTCACGTACATATAATTGTGTCTTGATAGATACATATAAGAGCAAACTTACTCAAGTACTCCGTAAGCCAAAATAACGTCTGTGACAATGACCGTGAGCTTCTGATACAGTATGGTCATCGGGGAGGCGTAATTGAGATTTTGGACATCCAGCATTTTGGGGTCAAATACCAACGCTCCATAGGATAAAATCCATTCAAAGTATGCAAATAGTGGCTGTCCAGATAAAAAAAATCAGAAAAAATTGAATCTAAAACTCTATCGAGGATGGGCTTATCCAATTTGGATGTGCTCATATATATGTTACAAAATTGTACATTATTCCAATATGTACATATTATTGCCTCATCGTCTCACCGGGTAGTCTAATGTCCATTCTGACGTGCTTTCGTAATACCACTTTTCAAGTGGAAGACTGTGAGTAATTGCCAACCAGTTCCTGTGGACTTCGAAGTCGGTTGAACGACTGAAAATGACAGCAAAATGGCATCATAGGGCTCATAGTGTGCGTACATAATATTGCTCCCTTTCCAAGCTGAAGTTTCCAACCAAAGTCAGCTTTATCGATTGAGTAGCTGACAAATTATGTGACATTGACTGACATGATATTGCCAAAAACGGTAAGCAATATATTTTCATTTTGTATGAGAAAGAGGGATGTAACTTACGGACGCATTGCAAAATCTAAATGGGACTACAAATCCCCGAGGTGGGGAAAATACACTGACAAAATATAAATGATACATATATTTTATATTTTGAGCAAAATTTTTGGCTGAGTGTCGTATTTTGATGTTATCATATTTTGATAACTTTGTTTTCAGAAGTTTCATGACGCCAAAAGTATTTCCGATTCTACTACATATTTAAATAAATACATGAGACCTGCACACAACTGTTCATTCGAATTTTGTATTGATATTTGAAAAGGGTAAAAGTATAACTTTCTAGACTATTCCAGTGGGGGTTATGGCGATATGACGTAGCTCTGACTCTCAGTCCCTTGCAAGGGACAAGGCCTTATCAGAGTTTCCGTGCATATTTTTTTGAATGAAGTAGTAAATGCATTTTAGGAAAATGTTGTGTTTAATAAAACTACTAATTTTTGGAAATGTCACCTGTAGCTTAAATTAAAATCACATAATCTACAGTGCAAAAAACCTTAACCATAATGAATGATGTTTCATCAATTAGCCCACTCCACAGGCCACCTACTAATTTATTGTACCAATTGTATCCAATTATATGCTCAGAAATATGTTTGCGGTGTACCGTCTTCGTCTTCATATAAACGCATCAAAAATTACGAGTCATAAGTTATGATGGCCTTTGATTTCTCAGTGAGTCTCAATTAAACATGGACAATTTTGACCCAACATCTTTTCATGACATAGATTTTGAGGTCTTCAGCTCCTACGACCCATGTGATAAAAGTTGAAAACTAAAACGTGTCCATTCTAGCATAACTTATTGATTAGAATTGAGCTGTATCGAAATATCTAATTCAAGGCAATAATTTAAGTATGCATTTTGCACCAGAGCTATTTAATAAAGGGGCACAGTTAAGTTAACTATGGGCGCTGGAGACCATCATATTATTTATGGATATTTAATATATGAAGATTCTTCATTGAATAAATTGTACAATATGCTACACTTGTCCCTGATAAATGCAAAGATTAGGCGCTATAACTTACTAGGACTTCAACATGAGCAGCTTTACGACAGAAACGAGGAGGACGCACGTCCAAAATGACCTCGTTTCTCCAGTAATTGTCATTTTGTAATTTATTATTACACACGTAACGAGTTTGAAATATTTAGGTTTGGATATGCTATAATATTAGTAGTGTTATCTATTTTTAATAGTATTGTCAGTCATATTTTGTCACTTCACATTTTCACTGGACACTCAATCGATATACATTTTTTATTTTTTCAGAGATTCATAATAATTAACAAGAAAAGCCCCACATTTTAGGTTTTGCACTGTCAAAACAAAATATTTTGTATCTATCCTGTGGGTGCATGTGTCAAACTGGCGACTCAATTTCAATTCCATCCTTCGGGCTGAAGTGAGAAAACTGCATTGCTAAAGTCGCATTCGGTGCTAGATGTTGATCAAACCCAGTTTTATTTTGCATGCAAAATCTCTGATCTTCATTATTAATGTACATTATTTAGATAATGATTTAAATAAAAAATTTATTTGCATACATTATTTAGTAAAATATACATAATTTCCTATCTATTTTCAGTCACATTAGTTAAGACACTTTATAACTGATATTTAATACTTAAAATCCACAGAATATTTCTATTGTAAATTAACAAAATATACTGAAAATTACAACCTGAAATTATAGAGAAAAGGGACAACACTAACTGCATGATATATATACTTATCGGTAAAACGCCACGATTGCTTGGCTTTGCTCTGTATACAGAGAACCTTAAGGGCCAGGGGAAAGATTTACTTTTCGAAAATTCATTTTATATATAGCAACAATAATTGCTAGGGATCCAAGATTATTATCACTATATTAGGCTACGACCAAGATTAATTAACATGTTTCTATGGCACGCTCGCGTTCAAAAGCTTTGATTTGGTCACTGTTTTTGAAAAAGTTTCCCTCAAGTCCCTCAAGTTTTTGAAAAAAGTAGTTTTCTTTTGTTCCATGAATACTCAAAATGCAATTCATGCCATCAATTTTGCAATTCTAAGCCAATTTGTGATCTCTTTATGACCAAATATCTCCACTGCGCAAGAGGGCACATTGTCAAAAAAAATGTAAGTAAAATCTAAAGATATGATTAACAAATTAAACATAATTTGAAAAATGTGCCCTCTTGCGCATTGCTGAATTTTATTGTCAAAGTTGACGTGATTTCTAAGCAACTTCCCCCGGGCCCTTAAAATTTAAGTCAATCACTTGTCACTTGTGGTACAATACCAAATTGAAATAGATGACTATTTTAATTTTAATAAAAAAAACCCCTATAGTTACTTGGTTACTCAGATTATCCCCTCCGAGTTATAACTGGGAAAAACATGTAATAATTTTCAAAGCCCCCGACAGCACCTTCGATTTCTTACTTCTACATATATGATTTTATTAGAAAGTCCCAATAGGCGCAAGAAATGGAGAACAAACGGTTATCTGCTGTTGAAGTGAATTTACGAGAATTTAGATCCACGTGTAAATTTGCTCCCCCAAAGGACGATGTGTCCACCAGCGTATTGTTGCGCAAAGGCCCACTTTCTGTCAACTCCGTTTCGAATATCACGACATTGGAATACCTCGAAAATTTTAGGAAACGAACCGGATATCAGCCGAAAGATCAAACTCCTGAGGTCCGAGAAATACAATCTAATGCACAAAAGGAAGTTACCTGCGATGAAGGAGAAAATGAGGTCGTAGAATTGCCAAAGGTATGGTTAAATAGATGTAATTATAGCTGTCCCTCTTTAGTTTATACATAGTTATTATTGGAAGTTGCGAACTCATTATGGTCCATAATCAACGTTATAGGACGATGATGAAATTTGTAAGGAATTAGAAGAAAATGTTTTCGTCAACCACCGCTTAACAGCAGAGCAACTTCTGGTCCTGGATGAATTTTGGAGTTTGAAAACCGTTGACATTTCGGACAATGAACTTAAGAGTTAACTCCTCAATTGCATATATTTGATTGATATTAATATACGTATTAGAAAAGCAAATGCATATTTCACGAAAGTATTGTTTTACTCGTATATAGACGTTCGTAATTTGGGGGCTATGCCCTACCTTCAAACTATAAATGCATCGAAAAATCAACTCGAGACTTTCTTGGAGATAACACCACCCCTCCCTGCATCGCTTAAGGAAGTGGATTTCTCATATAATAAAATAGCCATCATTGTAGAGCTGATTGAATATTGGTCACTTACCCATATCAATTTAAGCCGTATGTTTCGATTCTCCATTGTTTTTGAGAATTCGCTTAAAAGTTATTAAGTTTTAAATGATTATTATTGAATCTATAGATAATGAACTTACTAAGGTGGAAGGATTTTCTGGATTAAATTATTTGCAAGTACTGGATTTATCCCATAACAAAATTGAGACAATCATAGAAATCGACTGTCCTAGTCTCATTTCATTACATTTGGTGAGACAGTGAATAGTTTTTAAAAAATCGAAATTTATATCCATTCTATTGAATACTGAGAAATTGTGAGGATTTTATAGAATTCCAACAAATTGGGGTCAATCACCGAATACATTGGCTGCCAAAACTTGCGCTACTTAAATCTGCACAAGAATAAACTGTCCACAGTTACAGGACTAAAACATTTAACAGAATTAACGGAACTTAATATCAGTGGTAAGTATTTCCTATACTTGAATTAACTACTCACTATACCTTAAATTAATTAAGGTATTCCAATTAAACTCACTTATTTCTGCTCTCGAGTTTCTACATGCATATATTTTGTATTTATTTTTAAATATATGTATGTATAAATATTCGCTACAATGTTTCAACTAAATGATTATGTGTTGTATTGCGCCGTCAGAGAACGAGATTGACGACATTGCAGAATTGGAATGTTTGCAACCTTTGCTAAACTTGACTCGCGTGAAGATTCATCCAAACCCAATTTCATCCATGGAGAACTGGCGACTTGTTTTGGTTCATGGCCTATGTCAAATTTTGTGGCTAGACGAAACCTTCGTAGAACCATCAGAGCTGGTAATGAAAATTGTGTAGATGCAATGCAAACAGTGAAAATGCTCCTCTGCCCAATTTGTCATGTAGTGAAAGTAATTAGGTTTATTCGTAACTCAATTTTAGAGAGCAGCTGCCAACTTATTTAGTCCATCCTACAAGAAACTTGCCTATCTGGACTACTCTGAAATCCTAGTCCACCAAGCATGTCAATCAGCTAATACAATTTTTGACGGTTACTGCAGGAACCGTCCATCTCCGCCGATTTTGCTAATAGTTGGTCCTCCGAGAAGGTACGAAATGAATGCTAAGGATTTCTTATCATTTTTCTGCCAGCCCTCTCCATAATAAATTACTATTTTACATATACTGTTCTTTGTACCCCTCAGTCATTGCCACACGCTGGCTTTACTGCTTAAAGAAAAGTTTAGAAATAAGGTGCACTTGGGGTAATATGGTTATTTATGGTTGTTGTTCGTACTCATACGTCGTAATAATTACATTTCATTTGTCCACGTTAGCGGAGTTCACTCAACGGCAACAACAATAGGTAAGTTCATAACAACAATAGATAATACACTGCAAATGATAATATTGATAATAATACTGTAAATGACAACAACAATAGAAGGCAGCCATCCGAAACTGGACATTCCAGTTTCATATGAAAGTTTTCAAGAAATGAAGAACAACGGAGAATTTCTAGCAACTTGCCAAATCTTGGGCCGAATTTGTGGTTTTGCAACATCCCAGGTTTGTATTCTCTCCAAGTTTGAGGACTATTAAATTATGAAAATGTCATTATGATCATCGAAATCCTCCATTCCTGGTACGACGTACTATTTTGATGCATAAGGATATACATATTAACAGATTGCACGGGCTGCTGAGAAAATGGCACTATTGGTCGCAGTCGTACCACTAAATACAGCCATTGCCCTTCGAGAATGGAATTTGAATCCGAAATTAGTTCTGGCACTGCCAAGTACGCCACCAGAGTTCCCGTTGGACGAGGAAAGGATTGAGAGCATACGACGAAGCATAGGAAGCGACCCTGGAGAAGGATTATTGAAGAGAAAGTCGAGCGAAGGAAATAAGTCGGAAACCGGGGCAAGTACAGACGAGGAGAAAGATCACCATCTCGTCAACTTTGCAGAAATGCGTAATCCGTCATCCAAGAAAAGCCCAATATCCAAATAAACAATAATACCCATAATATGTTGACATATAGTTTCCGTTGTCCCATCTGCGGCAGAAGAAAAGGATCCTGAAAAAATTTTATATGAGGAGGAAGAAGATGAACACGATCTTGAGGTGTCCTCATCGGAGCCTATTCAACATTCCATCCTCAAGTCTCCGAGGTTTGAAGTCAACGCAACTTCCAGCAATGACAATGCTGCTGACCTCGATGACTTTATGGTTGATGATGATCAGCTACAGCAAGACGAAGAAGATATTGAGGAACTGGAGGCGTATGGTATTTACATAATATTTAATAAATTAAAGATGGAACTTGAGCAGGTTTTTAGAAGTTTAGAAAAATGAGAAATACTAATTATTTAAATTATTTTTACTGGGTCAGAGAGGTCGTTGGAATTGTTTGAAGCTCGGGTAATTGTTATTAATGATCATGACATGCAAATGCAAATGTAGTGCCTGTAATAAAGCGGAACTTGGTGAAACATGGTTTGACATAATAATACAGACGAGTAAGGACGCTTCTCGAGTTCGAATATCAAATCGACTAAGTGAGCACCTTGAACAAGACACCATTCTAGACATGGAGAAGAAGAAACGGGGTCGGTTAAAGTCTCTTGCGCCAGGAATGGAGCGATACAGCGTGTACGATCAGGACGCCATCGCGAACGCAGATGACGACGACGACGATGATTTATATGACGATGCCACCGAAGCCGAATTTCCAGACGAGTGGGCAGATAACGAAGAAATGGAACTTTTAAATTCCAAGGTTGCAGACATAAATATAATGGGCAGCAGCAACAGCGGGGCTGAGCAAGACACAAACCTAGTTCATAAAACGACCCCACACTCGGCTAACGCTGAAAATGTGGAGACAAACCATCTCCACCCCCGGTCTTCTGATAGTGGTAGTTTAACTGAGGTGATGATAGAGCAACTTAATGGGAGGCCTTGATGCACGCTTATTATCTCCATTCTTACGCCTAAAAAATCTGTGTATGCTAACTTACTAAATGTTGGGTGTTGCATGGTTTGACTTTCAGGGAAGTGTCCCAGCGGCTTTAATCTACGGGAGCAAAAGAATTAATCGACTTGCCAGTCTTTTGATACTACAACCAGATCAAAGCGCAATTCCTTCTTTGAAAATCCCAGACATTTTAATGAACCTGTCATCCCCGGAGAATTTGGACCCCAAATGGCTTCAACCAACGTTTAAGCATCCTACAGACCAGGAATTTCTTGACGACGGAAGTCAACTTTTCGATGACTTTTTCGAAGAGGAGGATGAAGATGAGGAGGAGTCAGAAGACCAAGAAGAGCATGATTTTCAAGCTGTCCCAATAGTGCCTGACCAATCTGTCCAAGAAACCAATAAGCCACCGCAAGTCCCACCCAAGATGGAAAATTTAACTGGAGGTTTATGCACTCCATTTCAGTGGCCGGGACTTGATCCCGATTCGGGATTGGAAAGCCCTGAAGGGAGGTTAGACTCAGGTGTGTGCAATAAAAAATAATTTCACCAGGATGGTGGAGAACACTATTGGAAGCTTACTCGTTTGGTGGAAATCGATTGGTTTACAGGAGTCGAGGCTGGGAATCAAGAAGAGCATGGAAATGAAAATGGTTTGTTGAAAAGTATGCCGACGACTCAGCAGGTTCATAATGCTAATGTAGTTTCTATCCCAACTGATGAAACCGGGGTCCCTGGGGTAATATCTGTATCTAATACTCAAGCACCGGAAGAACTGCTCCCCTCAAACCCACTTTCCTCCAGAAAATCTACCTCCGGTAAATTTTGTAATCCCAATCTTCCTCTCTTCAAACAACTACTAATTGCTCCTGTACTACTTTGTGTCGTGTGCTTCGCCCTCACTTCACCCTCCTGGCTTGCTTCTTTTGAAGCTGGCTGCTCTTTATTATTTCTTGTTACTAAGCTTGAAACTGGTCCATCTTTTGTAAATATTTGCAGCTAATAACCTAGATCAAGAGCCAAAGTCTGGAAAAAAACAGAAGAAGAAAGGATTGCGATTTCATGATTCAACTGAAAATGTGAACACAAGTTCGCCTGAAGAATTCGAATCAGCAGAAGAGAACAAGGCAGCTGGTAGCGATAATGGGCTTGTAGATGATCCATTTTCCACAAATGTAGAAAGTACGGACGGTGAAAGGCAGCATCAGCCAGGGCAGCAGCATAGAAACTCAACAGATGAGAAAATTAAGGAACCTGTACACTTGGCACTCTCAGAGAGTGAGCATTCAGAACAACACACTGAACAGCAGCAGCAGCATCACCATCACCTAACTCACAAAGAAGCCATGACTTTCTCCATTCTCCAAACGAAAGAGAGATATTCAAAGTTTCATAGTGAAAATCCCGGATTTTTTCATACCGTCATCGACACTGCCGACTTGTGTGAAAGTTACCAAGTCCTAGAAAATGTAGTAATGGATGCCCTAATTAAGTTCAGGCAAGAGTCAATAGTCTACGCAAGCAGATCGCCAGTTGTAAAATCCCATGCTGGAGCAAATAAAGTGGACGCCAAATATTTTCTGGTTGACCGACTGCAGAAAATGAAAGACTCTTCTGTGCTGTGGACTCGTGGTTGCGAGATCAAAAATCGACCCTCAGAACAAGAGGTTCAAACTTTTCAACAATTATACTCGAGCCAGATGGAACAATCCGAAGTGCTGTTTACCAGGCCCACATGTTCGCGAAATTTGTTGGACCCCACTATTCACAGGCCTCCAATCACTTTTAAAATGAGAAAACTAGTCGAGTTGCAAGAGAAGAGGGTCAAATGCTCAATGCTTCAGAAAACCTCCAATGATTGTCAAGATAGATGTAAGTAAATAACAATGGGAAACTTTTTCACGCCTACTAAGCATGTTATATATGTATGTACAGCATGAGCATATATATGCAGGAATGAAAAGAAATGAAAATACATCTGTATGTTGACAGTTATTTTTCGTAACTGAAATGTAGCAAAAACACCGAAATCCCTATTTTATTTCAACCCCTAAAAATAACATGGAATGCAATATATCATCTAGATATTCGCATTGTACAGTATAGAATTAAATATAGACTGCAAATCATATTTAACGAGGACACATTGTTTCACTCAATTAAATGTTTCATTAATTTCTATTCAGTTACTTATTATGTTCCCTTGTCGATGTAGAGCACGTTTATTTTATGCAGACAGTTTGATTTAACTTCTATTTTTAGTCCAGGGAAATGGTATGTGAAAGAGAAAGTAGTCACGACGAAGTTTGAAAGGACTGAATTTGTGTTTCATATTTGCATTGGTTCAATAATTCTTTGAATAGCTTAGTTGAGAACTTTTGATCTGCAAATAAAAGTCCTGCTCATGTTGGTGCCTGGAATTTTATTGTGGTTATTTTCTTCAAATAAATTATGGTACGAAGAGATAAGGCGGATAAGAGATTTGTTTGTCCAAGAAGAAAATCCACGTTCCAGTTTTATTCACACAAATATGTGTACACTGGGAGGATGTGTTGGGTTTCACTTTCAACTCAACAGAGCAGGCAGGAAACCTAAGTACACATCTAGAAAGCCTAATCTATAAGTGCATGTACGTACGTACGTATGTATGTAGAGCGTTGAGAAGAAAAGCCCATCTTTCCTCTACAGAGATGGTCAGGGAAAGGAATTATATGGATCAGCATGTTTCGGGAAACTTATCAAGTGTTCTATTTCGGTAGGAACAAGACGAATGGGAGGAAGAGCAAATGTTAATAGCGCATAAGAATTTTATTTGTGTGCACTTGGGACTGGCAAACGTGCTTTATCTCCCCAGAATAATAGTCAACTAACACTCTAGCCACAGTCCACAACCTTATGATATCCCCAGGGCTTCATCTTTATCATCATCATTCCGCTTTAATTTACCACAAGTTGGAAGTGAAAGTGTACTAGTGAAAGTCTAGTACATACATAAAATGTGACAACCTGGATGATCCGCACGTCCAGAGAATTGCATATAGAAAATATACATACATACATAAATTAAATTCATGCTGTGAAAAAATAATCTAGGTTGCCTTCATTTGCATTACATGTACCAGTAGCTGAACATACATAGATAAGGTATCCGACAACTCAATATTTTGTGATAAAATTTCCATTAGTCTGCCTGTCACCATTTTGTTTGAATAACACACATTTATGCATACTTTCTGCTCGACATCAAAGGATTCAATTGGCATTTGTCATTTAAAGAATCTTTTGTGCCACGTTTGATTAGAGTTGACCTTAAGTTGAATTAAACTGTATCAAAGCTGAGTTATGTAAAATTGTATCAACTCAGAAACCTGGGACATCAAACAAATGTACAAATTTTGTTTGTTGAGAATTTCACAATTTTCTATACACCTAGGAAATTCCTAGTTTTGTTTGATACTTGTGTATAGGTTGCTTCAACTTTTTCATTTCAAAGACTTTTTATTACTTTTCATTTTCAGATCCAGATGGAGAATTAAAATGAATGCTTAGAAGCACAAATAAAAGACTTTTATTATGATCGAAATACGAATGTATTGGTGAAACTCTGATAAAGGGAATGTATGACAGTGAAAATTGCAATGATGAATTTTGTCGAATAACACATTTTGGATCAGATGTATTTACTCTGCTTTTGTTACATTAATATATATACTACAGAATTTGTCTGCATACAAATAAATTCTGAGTTATGGAGGTTGCTGTCAAGTATCATATTTATAAAACCTTTAGTGTGCGGAATTCATTTAGCCCGAGCCAGCGTCAGATTCGCCTTTTCAATGTTTGTTATATGACTAATATTACCAAATTGTGATTGAAAACTCAACGATGTGGGTCATATCTTTCCTATCCTTTAATGGCATAGTTGCCATACCTCAGATATTATCCTGCCATAAATTTCCTTAATCCAGCATGGAAGAACTCAGGAGGGGAGGTTGTGTACTATCAACTCCCGGATCTCGATGCCCTTTGGATAAGTTGTAGTGTCCGATGAATGTACAAGAACCCTGAAGCGGTTTGATTCCATGGCCACATTTGCGCCCGCCACACCCACTCAAAGGCGCCCAAAAACCGCTTTCACTCCAGCTTTCACTCACTCAAATCCACACCAAAAATCCAATTTTACTCGGATTCTGAAATTTCTTTCACCATTATACTCCCAGATAGTTGTTCTCTTATATACAACATCAAACTCAACTTTTTTGATGATAATTTCGCAGCCATAATTTGCTTTGTTGATTACTACAACAATGCTCATTCAGAATTTTAAATTTTAAAAATGCTAAGCATTTCAAAAAGTTGAGTTTAGTGTTGGACATGAGAAAGCAACTATCTGGGAGTATAATGGTGAAATAAATTTCAAAATCGGAGTAAAATTGGATTTTTGGCGTGGATTTCAATGAGTGAAAGCGGTTTTTGGGCACCTTTGAGTGGGTGTGGCGGGCGCAAATGTGGCCATGGAATCAAACCACTTCAGGGTTCTTGTACATTCATCGGACACTATAACTTATCCAAAGGGCATCGAGATCCGTGAGTTGATAGTACACAACCTCCCCTCCTCAGCTTCTTCCGACTAATTAAAAAAACAGTGTAGGTCACCCTGTTGGGTCCCTCTGGAAAAAATGCCGAGATTTATTTCATTTTTTTCCGAAGTACCATTTTCAAAAATCTGTATGGACGACCCCATTTAGGCAAAAAATTTAGTAAGAATTTTACCCCACCCACTAATATAACCCCCACCGGTCAACCACGCGACCAATTTGGCTCATCTTCGAACTTAATTCCTAATTTTGTCTAACATCCATGTGTACAAAACTTGAAGTCGATCAGTTCAGCCGTTTTGGCTCTATCCTGTATAGGGCAGACGGACGTGACTGTTCCATAAGCTTTGACTCAATCTAAAAATGTTCAGGGAAGCAAAACAAACACGACTCCATCCTCGATCAGACGGAACTGGATAAAATTTAGAACCTTATAGAAAATAAATTTAATCTAATTACTATTTTCATGCATCGTCGTTGAGAAAATTTACACAACAACAATATTTCTACTTTATTGTATGCATATTCACCTACACAATAAGAATCATCTGTCTGTCATGTCACAAAACGACAATTTATCACGACCAATCTATTATTCCTACATATTTCCAGCCAAAACCAGCCCAGATTAAATCATGACCAAATCTGTCGGTACTAATGGAATCTCGTAGCCGTCTCTGCCTACGGAAGTGACTCAGCTAGTGTCCCTGTGGCCAACGTATATTGTGAATAAATTAATATTTATGGCTTTCAATAGAAAATTCAGACCCAGCAGCCAAATTATCTGTAATAAATGGGATTTTATATGGATCCACCAACGACTAGACGATAGCTTTATACATGAACTAACCAGATTAAAAGTTTATGAACAGATTAACGAGGTCATAGTTTACTCACTCTTTATACTTTGCTATTAGATTCAATCTGAAGCAGTAACTCTGAGGATGCGACCACTATAGCACTGATGAAGCAAATACTTGTGCTACGCATTTTGCATCCCGTGTTCTAAGAGCTATTTGACGCTGTAGCAGAGGTTCTTTGGTAACCTGACTCTCTTTGGTTCACTCCATTTATTTGAAGCTTCATCCTCGCCTCCTCCTCCTCCTTCCACCACCTCACCTTTCTCCTCGGTGAAAGAGATGGAGAGAACACTAGATAGAGACCAAGAGAGAGCGAGGGAGAGAGAGATAACAGTGTTTCAACCTGATCCTCATGCCAGCAGTTCAGTTGCGAAAGCATGATTTCCAAGCAAAAGTTTCCACTGTGCATAATACATAGAATATGCAATAGGAGGCTTAAACCACAAAAGACGACAGCGGATTCCCTCCAATGTGCTTTCTCCATCATCATGTTTGAGGATCTATATATCTTTTTTTGCCCGGTGCCTGCTGAACCTCCAGTTGAACACTTTGCTTCATCTGCCTTATTAAAGAGCAGTTCCCTCGTTCACTCGCTTGTTAGGTTTCACCTGCGCTTAAAATGATGAAAAAGTTTTATGCTGTAACGACTTTCAACGATACGAGTATGGTATTTTTAGCAGTTTTAGACCAAGAGCACTTTTCATGTTTGAACATAATAAAGATTGGTTAACGTGCAGACGATGCGAAACAGAAACGATGGAAGTACGGATGAGCACAGATTAAGAGTGCTCGTTATATAAATAATAGGCACATACATACATACATACTTGTGTATATGCGCATATATATCATCACTCACGATACTTTAGATGCGGCTACACTACCTTGTTCATTGTTAGTCAATTTATCATCATCGTATTTATTAACATGGTAGTTATAATGCCGTTTACGTATATTCTTGTTCATGGTGGAACTAATTCGACTGGGCTACTGAACTAAACTACTTTCACTGGTGTAATATCATAAATAGGAGAAACATGTTTAATAACTGTACTTTAGAGTTTTAAATGTCCAAATGCTGTAGCGATTTTCATGCCCATTTGCGGTTAATTGAATTATCCTATCCTAGCAGAACAGATAAGTTTACTGTAAAAGTACGGATAAGGTTTGTAGAGAATTCAACCAACGTTTGTGTGTACAGCGAGTCAAGAGAGAAAGTAAACATCAACACTTGAGGCATAGCTCCTCATCACACCATGGTTGCATCTACATATTAGTCAGTTGGACTATCACAACACACGTTTCGCTGAGGAGTCAAGGTGGAATGCAGTGCAAACTTTCGTACCTACATTCAGTCAGCTTTATCCGAGTCAAACCAGCTTAGGGCTAGGCAGGCAGGTCTAGGATAGGATACGAACAAATTTCCTTTCCATGCCATTTCCTCCTAATTCTCACTTCACTACTAAAACTTTCTCGCAGCATTCGCCTGGTTATGCATTCTTCCCAAATATTCTGGGTAACTGAAATGGTGAGCAAAACTAGACGAGCACTGGTCATCCCGTTCTGCTTTTATTGTATATTTCCTTCTGTAATGATTCAGCTACAATTGCAGTTTCCCATCACCCAACAAATCTGGGCTGATTTGTTGTGGGTATGGGATAAACATTTGATTAAGAAAACAATAGATCGTTTTATCATTGGCATTGGTTTGGTGCTGTGGTTAATAATAACACTTGAAAGAATTGGATAGTCCCGGATGATCAATTTCTGTACGGAGTGAGTTGTATAACCAAGTTACAAGCAGGTTGCAATACCATCCCATGTATACATTGGTGAGGAACCAGGAGCAATAATTTTATATCCTAGTCACTGACTTTTTGTTTCGATTTTCTTAAGGATACGGTGTAAACAGGGTGCAGGGCAAATCGGAGAGAGGAATTGGGTTGCACCTTCCTCGGTACAATGGGTGGTGGATGGCAAGAGATGGGGAAAACGCCACGCAAGCTGGCTGGCCGCGTTCTTGGTGCTATCGACTCACTTTATATTAAAGAGAAGGAGACGAGGGAACGAGAGGATGGCAATGGTGGGTATTTGGACTCTAGGAAAGTGCAGCCTCTATCCCGGACTTTCTCCGTTTCCTGAGCAGTGTTCCAGCCACTTCCACCACCACCAAAACCAGCTCCTACCGTCACACTCCATAACTTACATCGCTCTCCCCTGCTTTCATTTTTCCGTTTCACTTTCTTCACGTCGACCCAGTCATAACACAAGAAAGAGAACCAGAAGGTTTCATCAGAAGCATCCGCAGCATCTGATCAAGGGCAAGCAGGAGAAATAAGCACAATGGGATCTGGAGGGATATAGGATGAGGAATTACCATCTTTGACGTTGACAAAGGCAAGAGGAGAAAAAGTGAGCCGATATCCAATTCTGGTGGATTGGCAGCACCAGAAGAAAAATTTTCAATTCCGTATAGAATTTTGGGCATCACAACAGCTTTATTTCATCCACCTCTTTAATTCTGTGGAGTTGAATTTACTTATTTTTCCCCTGTCCATGCCGTGGATGGCGACTTGGCGAGTGATGGAATTTAACACAATGAGTAAATCTATTTATTGATTAAACTTGCCCTCTTATTCAGCAACAATTTATCCAACCACAACTGAAACAGAACATTTTTTACCAGACATACCAAAGTAGAAAATGTTGAGTGAACAGTAAGTGACGTGAGTGAATTTAATTGACGTTCGCAACCTGAAACTAAGCACAATCCGTGTGTTTAGGAACAACAACAGCAGTATCAGTTTCACAAAAAGCGTGGAGTGGAAGAATACCCACCAAAAGGCGAAGGCGAGTTTTGAGATTGTAAGAACATGTTAGAAAATGCGATATCAAATAATGCAGAAGAATATTTTACATCCCTTCTCGTAATGCAAATTCAACCAAATTCATAAAGCTACACAAAAAATCTCCGTTTCAAGGGTTTCATATTGCACATTGTTATCTTTTAGGCCCATGTAAAAATCTGGGGCTTTACCAGCGAAAAAATGTTGAACCAACAAGTATTGCGAGTAGTTTGCTCTTGCGAAGTGAAACGAAACGCATTACATCTCCATTAAAGTTGTGAAAGTAACGGCCCCGTGACAGGTTGTTCTCTGATTCAAGTCAAACAAGTGTGTATTCTGCTATCTTTTTTCTACAAAAAAATTGATGTTGCTCTCAGAGAGGAAAAGATTTTCTTTGTGCTTCATATCTATCTCGTACATTTTTATTATCGAGCTGTCATAGTGGTTGACTGCACCAAATAGACGAACCACACACTCACACTAGAACTCCCACCGTAGCAGTCCTATCATCAGCATCTCTGCAAACAGGCGACGTCAAGTAACTAACAAGCACACGCTTCTTTCCAACCCATATAGTCGACTGGTGAAAGTCGAACGTACATAAGGATTGAATACACCTCATGTGTGCACTTTGCTTCTGAGCTCTCATCATCATCTTCTTCTTCTTCTTCGTCCGCTTCTCGTACGAAATTCTATTCAATTTCTCTTCCTTCCTTGACTAAGATTTGTGCTTACTTGCCTTCCCTTATTTCTTCCGTGCTGTGCACACAAAAAGCAAAAAGATAGCGAGAGAAGAGAATCTTTCTCAAGATCGGTTCGTCACTGACTCTGCTCTTCTGTGTCCATTCTTTCCTCCACCGGAGATTGCACCGAGTGGTTTGCTAGAATTTTGCTACATTCCATAATTCCTTGCGCTCGAGAAGAAAAAATTTACCAACAGCTCTTCCAATCAAAACCTCTGACATTTAAGAGTTATATAAAAAGAAGAAGAATAGCAACAACAAACCAAATCTGAAAAGTCCTCCTCATTATCGAATTGGCCGACTCCTTCTCAGAATACAAAGGCTTAGCAGAGCCCACAAGCAATTTGAGTCTTGAGTGAATAAAGTCAATCCACGATTCTTCAGTTTAGTCACGAGTCTCATCATCACCCGCAAAGAATATATATCTACGTTACGTATACATACGTACATACACACACACAGACAAAACCAAGCATATAATAATTACTCACAAACCGCACCATTCATTTCCATCTGGTTCTTCTTCCAGCAAAGGATTGAATTCCCTGAGATTTACTTGACGTGAGCTTGTTTGGAGAAAGTCGGATCATCTTTCCATTCCTCATCACATCAGCCATCAAACCTACTTAAGCTAAGAGTGAGAGCTTTCCTTCCTCCATTTACTATTTTATTGCGGCACTACCAATACGAACACACATTGTACGTAGCCACGTCTCTTCCATTCCCTCCTACACATAAATTCCAGCTTATTCCAACTTTGACAATCAAAAAGCCTCAAAGACAGAATTCATCATTTATTCTAAGATATACATAAACCACCTATCGTACGTTTCTCAGAGTTTAATACTCTTGAAATTCAAAGACTGCGTTTAATTCTTCCTAAGTAGTTTTGCAACCGAAAACCTGCAAGTAAAACTGGATATAGAACTTTAAAGCTACACCGTTTAAATAAATCTTTTGCAGCGGTACTAGTAATGTACATACGACGACAACTACGACTATATTGTGTAGCTACCAAAGCTATCCGACAAAATTAAATAACTTTTTTTGGCGAGATTATATTAATTTGAAGGGATTTGACAGCTACAAGGCTTTCTCTCTCTCCCTCTTGTCTTGTCATATTCCAAGTAAGCTCAGTGAGCTGGATAAAGTGCAAGTCAGTTTTCTCCCCACTTTTTGAGAAACAAAAAAGTTGAAAGGCCAAAAGTGGTGTGCATGGATGGTAACTCCCCATCGCGTCAATCGACCGTTGGCCAGGCACACAACGTAAATTGGATTCACTCAGAAAGAGCTACCACCAAAGTAAAATCAAAAGAAGTGGGTTCAATAAAGTTGACTGATGCGAATTCGGTTAGGACTCCAAGGATAGAATAGGACATGCAGAGCCATTAATGCTTCCAACTTCTGAGAGAGAGTGCACTTGAAGGATAAGTGAAGTGGTGACAACACATCAACTTTTCATTTGTTCTTCTAGGTGTGTACATAATACAACTTCAAATATATCGACTTGGTTTTGTCTAATAAGATTCATACAAGAAGGGAAAAAAAAGCCAAATGTTTTTTTTATATACTTATACAGATAGCATTTCACGTCGTTTCCCAATCTCATCTGGACCCAACTCCGGAGGTTTTCATATACGTTTAGACTTGGGAGTTTGTGACTGATCCGTGCACGCAAGGAAGGAGAAAGTTTCGAGTCCAAAAAGTCGTCTCGTCCGGCGGTGGGTATACATGTGCATGGGAAAGAAGTGAAAGGCACGGACTTGCCATCAAGTGGACAAATAATCTGTGCAGCCCATGTTGGATGCTGTTATTTTACTCGAGCGAACATAGCCAACTTCCAACAGCCAACAACTTAGGAAGAATTCGATTAAGACCTTGTTTCTTTGTACAAGACGAGCGAAGTGAGAAGAAATTGAGATTTTAAAAGTTGGGCCAAAGTACATACGTCTGACATACGATGGACAACCAACCGCACATTCGGTTTGCAGAAACACGTAAGATTAAAGAAGTTTTACACGATTACTCTGTTTCTAATTTTTCTACTTCACGCCTGCACACAATTCCCATTTTCTCACTCACATCACACCGTGACAGACGACAATGGGAAAAGTTGCGAAAGGAAATACGACGGTGGCAGTCATACATTCTTGTAGATATGTACACATGTACCATACACACTCGTATGTATATATTTAGACACTGAAGGATCAAACTATTCTTGTTTTCTTATTTTAAACAAAGACAATTAGTTATAAATGAATATATCAATTTACGTATTTATAACTGCTTGTATTGTTCTAAAAGCCTCTCTTTTTCCATGAATAAGTCATTTTCCATGAATTACAAGTGTCTCAAAATAGACAGAATCATATTTTTTGTAATAAGAGGTAGAATAAACCAAAGAAAAACGTGCTGACAGTTGACGACCTGTTATTAAGTATGGGACTATTGTGTCAAGAAGTTGCATACCTTTGCCCTTAGACAGTTGTGCACATTGTGAGTGATCAATTTGCAAATGTTTTCATTATAGCTCCAGGAAGCCCAAAAAGTTGCATGAAAGGGAGCCGAAAACTGACATTCGAGGAGAAAGGAGGAGGAGGGGGAGATTCCTCTGGGGAGGTGACTATGACAGACTCTGCCACTTCTACCGTGTCTAAAAGTCCAAAGAAGAGCAGCAAAGTCTGCATTCGATCCCCTGGTGACAATTCATCTCCTGTCACAGCCCCAACGGTTGTGGTTCCCCCTTTTGTTAAGCCACCGGATATTCAATTCAGTCAACATTATGACCAGTCCACTCCACCCCCAAATTGCACCTCCAATGGGTACGACTTTGCTGTCGAGAATTCCGAGGAGACCAGTAGCAGCAGTGATTCCACTGATCCACGCCAGGATCCACACCTCATGGAAGTTGCGTCAAAGTTCGTCAACGAGATAATTGAGACGGCAACGCTCGAGGCTTCCAATCGACAAAAGGTAGTTGAAAAAATCGATATTTTGTTGTTCGCAATGTACAAAACCATCAATCTTTTGTGACGCACATTCACCAACTCAAAGATCCAAGAAAGTCGGATTGAATGACAGATTGACGAGAATAAACACTCTCGGGCCGACTTGTAACTTTATCATTCTCAATGTCTCGAGTGGAATAACAATTTTTAACAAGACGGCGATTTTAGTTTGTGTGACATGCAACATAATAATTCAACGTCAATTTGACTTTCTCCACTGGCAATATTGCTGGAGAAAGTTTTACTCCCATTTCTCTCTTTTTGTGTAATAATACAACAACACCGAGCAGAGAATGTTACCAAGAAGGACTCAAAAAAACTAGGGAAAAAAATTAGCCCAAATTGCCATATTAAAACAAATAGCTGCAAATGCGGGGAAAAGGAGAAAGAGACGCTAATGAATTGCAATGCGAGAATCTCATCACTGACTACATACCAACAACCTCGTCATACATAACCAGTAGTAATGGCCAAGATACCATCAAAGACCGAGAATGAAAGTTTTGCGAAAATATTGACAAAGGTCTCAGATGGGTGATTTTGTTTGCTTAAACTTAATGACATTCTTCCTATATCTCCGCCACGACTACCTCGTACATGAAGTTATGGGCATGAAACGAGGAAACCAGTGAAACTACCCCAGGTCTTTTCCTCACAGTTGTGTGTTTTCATGTGGACATAAGATAACGACGAAATTGCTCGAGATTGGTGCTTAGCCTAATCAATTTGGGAAACTCCCCTTCATTATGCTACTAAATATCTGTTTGTAATCTCAGAGAGTGGTTGCATGATTTCATTTAGGGAAAAACTCATCACATAGCTAATTATTACTATTTTAATGCAATATTCAACGATTCAGATGTTGATTGCTATGCATAAATTAGGGTACGTAACAAAAAAACCGCAGCAAACAATGATGAGCATATGCACAGCATACCTACTTTTCTCATACGTAATGTATAGATCTAATCTTAAGCAAATATATTGGCTAATCCTCTGTGATAATTCTCTGTGAATGACTAGTAAGCAAATCCCCTTAATTAATTACAATTAATTTCCTATTTTTATTTTAGCCCGAATTCAGTGCAAAGTCGAATCTCACTACAATCGCAAGAGGTATGTTATGCTGGTTGATGTTAAAATCGAGATTTATGCTTAATTTGCTTGAACTTTGTTTCCTGTATGAGTAGATATTCTAGCAACTGGCAGAAGATCAGCATGGGTTCAACGAGCGCAAGGCACCGTATCCAAGTGGTTTACCAACCTGTGTGTTAAAGCACAAAACTCCATAAGAACATGAACTCACTGGAAAACTTTGCCGAACTACAAAGTTTTGTCAATTTGGACTGGAAAATAATACTTCAAACAACAGTCAGACAGACACGCGAAACATGAAACAATCTCATAATTTACTTTTATGACGTTTGGTTAAAATAGCTAACAAGCGTTGTAACTCACAACGCAAAGTCAATGATGGGGCAGTGACAGGATTAAAAGTATATGTATATATTTACATCACGAAATACGATATCCTATACTGAATACCGTTGCAGTTAATGCACAAACATGACTCCATTTCTGTGAAATTGAAATATTGTTGGCTGGGACACATTGTAAATAATATATTTAATCTTACAAGGCCACCCCATAATTTTTCTCGTATAAAATTCTAAATCAAATGGCACAAACAAGAAAAATGTCAGGGTTTGAGTAACAGGTTTCCATAAAACTATTATCTATTACTTAATTCCATAGCTCACAAGGGAACCTTAAATACTGTCACATCTCGATTTCCTTTCGGGTGATAGACTGTGATGTTTGACATAGTTATAGATAGATAATTTAGTGTAACTAAAACTTTGTCATAGGACATACGGTGCAGTGCAAAATCACGTTTTTTCGAAATATTTAAAAACATTATTTTTTTAAACTTTTTTGTAATGCTTAAATAAAAGAAGTTTAATATTTAAATTTTGGTAAAATTTTGAACAAACGACGAAATTCAAACTTAGACAATTTTGCAGATTTTTGCAATCTGAAATAAAATTGGAGAACGTTTGCATGTTTTTTTTGCATATTGGTTATCATAAAATTACGGATATATAATTTATAAACTTCATTTCATTATTCCAAAGGCTGATATCTATATTAAAAGCATTGGAAAAATTGCACGTAAGTATTTCGCAAAACGTGATTTTGCACCGTATGTCCTATGACAAAGTTTTAGTTACACTAAATTATCTATCAATAACTATGTCAAACATCACAGTCTATCACCCGAAAGGAAATCGAGATGTGACAGTATTTAAGGTCCCCTTGTCAGTCCTTTTTAATTGTAATTGGCAATGAAATATCATCGTAATTATATGTATGAGGTTATATGTATATATGCATAGTAGCCTTTGTAGAATATACTGACCAAGTAGATGCCCTAGCCCTAGCTAGATGATTGATCCACAAACTACCTGAACCACATCATGTGTATATGCGTTTATACCATCATCCATCACCCATAGGGACCATGTCTCCCGGACTTACAAACAACATTAAATGTTAAGATAGTCCCACTACTACCCAGAATTTACCTAGATGTTACTAATACAAATATATGAATGCATAACCACACAAATAATTTCAGATATAATTTCAGCTACATACATTACATTTCGATGTCAAGGCGTTGATACTTGACCACACAAAATGAATATGTATCGTCAAAACTTTTATGTTTATGAATTGATAGGATTTGACCATACTTGATGTACAGATAAGACATGTGAGGAATCAATAAAGTTGACTTGCGACAAACACTTTGTTAAATTCTTCATTATTGTTTAATACAACAAAACTACTTAGCACAATGTGAGTATTACATGCAGAAAATTTACAATATATTTGTGTATATATTCAGGTAAATAAGAGTTGGTGAGTTAAACTTTGGTTTTCAATAGACTTTTTTGGATTCAATATCACAAGAAATTTTGCATTAAGATCCTTGGAAAAAGAGTTCTTCTTCGTCCTCTTCCAACTCAATTCCACCATTTCGGGCCAGCCTGTAAATTACGGATTAAAAATACAAATTACCAGCCTCGCATTGTCTTTTGTACATATGTATCAATATGCCTCATTCTCTGACGGATAATTAATTATCAATTGTAAGCATATATTAACAGTATGCATTAATAATAAATATTTAGCATCAATAACGATGTTTACTTACATATAGTTATCCATGTCGATACAAGTGCAATTGTTGATTGCATACCTCAACCGTTCACGCATAATGTCCTGTATAACAGTGCATATGTATGTATTATACATTACGCACAACATCAGTAAAAAAAAACAAATTGAATTTACCTTGGAAGAATACGGGGGGAGGCGAAGTTGAAAGAAGCAAGTTTGAGCAGTTGGCAAGCCATTTAATGGTCGGTCAACTCGCATAACTTGAAATCTCTGCGAAAAATCTGCGAGATTCGCAGGCAGTCTTGACCTAGACATCACAAATGAATAATTTATAAATGTGTTCAAATTGAAGTTTAATATTCTAATAGATTTCAATTACTGATGGTAAAGGTAGGGAAAATTTAAACTTTGAGTTTTATTTTTTAAAGAACCACATTAGACACGTCACTTTCTTTATAAAAAGTAGAGGGACCACCTTGACCCTGAAATGTCCCTGTAGGATATCTTCTCTAGATACCCTTATTACATAGTTCCATAGACTAATTAAATAGCACACATGTACATTTGTAGTATGGGGCAAGTGAGGAGGTAAATTTCAAGATGAGTAAAATTCCAGAAGGGGTTGATCGGTGGGGGTCATATACGTCGGGTGGGGTAATTTGATGCAAATATTCGGAATTGTCGTAGAAACCCGATATTCGGGCAATTCGTCATACTTTTTGACTAAATTGAACATACATATTCACACGACCAAATCATTGTTAGTGGGGGGAGCCGTCTTCGAAGTTCAAAAGAGAAATAACTGACTCTGGCATACATATGTTATTAAATTGCGACCCAAAGGAGCTCACCTTCCTGAGACGAACCGCATGAACAACACTCTCTCGGAATTAGAAAATTCTTCCAATATACTCCACAGCCATTGGACAAGTTCGTTATTATCGTCCATTTCTCGATATCTATATACACGAATAATAGTATGCAAATTATTCTAATACTTAAGAAAGTCAAACAAATAAGAAAACTTGTATAAATTTCTCTACCTCACGACTTGCTTCAATAATCGAATTGAAATATTTGGTAAGCCACAGACCAATTGTTCTAAATGAGAGCCCATCATCAAAGACATTAATGGGACGGGAACAATTCCGGCCATGCCCTCGCGTATTGCCGCCACCTATTTAAAAAATTTTAAAAATTTGCAAAGCTAATCGGATGAATGATATCGAAATTTTGGAAAGTGGCATTACTTGAAGATCCAGTTCATGTAATCTAAAGTTGACAGCTTTCTCAATGTAGTCCATTCGGTTGTAGAAAGTGAGTGGGAGGCTTCGACCTGAAATTACTTGATTATTAATGCAATGGCCACATAATAAAATAAAACTTTCATGTTGAGAGGTTAAGATAATTAAAATTTTCCATGCTGATTGTCTTACCGCCTGGAACAATGGGGACTAGTTTCCTATATAAGAAATAATAAACGAATTAGCGAATCATTATGAACCCCACCACCCATGAAGGCAGATAATACGAAACACTTACCCTGTACTGCTTGTACCCTCGTAGCATTCCAACGGAATTACCTTTGATGACAAGTTTGTGAAATTAGAATTTAGTTTTAAATTAGTATTTTATATACATAGTTTTTAAACAAACCTCGTGGAAATTTGTTTCGTTAAACTGAGATGCGACGTGATCCCGGATCGATTGTAAACCCTTTATGTACATCGCATCTACTTCTTCTAAATCATCAGCAGTCACTTCTTCACCTCTGAAACACAAAATCATTAAACGTTACATTTTTTGATACTAAATTGTCATATAATAATATTAAAAAATAGAACTATTACACCAAGAGTTTCCAAACAATGGGAGCCAAATGAATTGCAACAGGTTTTTTAGTTCGTATTGAAACGCCAAACAAAATGCCTACAAAATGCAAGTTAATGAAATATTTTTTTTTACAAAAAAATTATATAGTCTGCAAGATTGGTACCGATAAACTTGAAGGCCAGTATGTCATCCGTTGATGTCAAGTCAGGATTTAGTAAAAATCTATCTCGGTTGAAACCCACGTCATTTGCCTACAGGAACCAATGGGAGTGTAACTCAATTCAAATTTGTTCAGCCATAAAGAAGTTTTATTTGTTTCGTAATTAAGTATTTAACTAATTGTTCTTACCGAGTTTGGCGTTGGAATCAGGTACGGAAGAGATCCGTTTGTGAGTTCAATGCACATCTCAGTGATTGTGTCATCAAATACCCTGTTTAATTAAGAGTATTTAAATGTGATTTTGCTTATGATGAACTTTTTTTTATTTATATAAATAAACTCTTTGAACAACTTACCCCCCTGCATCGTCAGCCCCTTCGCCAATTAATTTGACCTATAGAACAACACAATTAAATTCGAAATCATCATGATAAATGCATACAGACACTAGGCAGATGAACAAAAAAGAAAGCAAGAAAATCACCTTCCAAGCACGCGCAGGCAATCTTAACTCTTGTGGTGCAATCTGGACAACTTGAGTCGAAATTTGAGTAAATATGGGTTTCTTTCGTTTGCATTTTGTAGTTAATCTGCGAACAGTAATCTGTGGGCCATAAGTCCTCGATTGAATCATTGTACGATGTAGCGTGCGAACAAATGGCAATGTATAGACACGAGATGTGAGCAAACGACGCAATTTTGGAGAAGTTGGGAAATATTGGGGATCACTGTTCGTGTGTGGAGAGCAATTCTATATGTATAAATATCAAAATATATTAATCAGAACGCATTTATTGCATGCCACGCTAAAAAATACTTTAAATAAGTATGTGTGAAGTAATACGTAGGTGTTTTATTATTAATTTTCAAAAGGTATGTTCCGCACTGTTTCTGACCAAAATTTTGATGAAATAACAAACTTCAAATACATTTAGGAGGCTGTGATTTTTTTCAGCTCTGTGGGTTAACATAAACACTAGCAATAAATCGGCAAACTTTACCTCGACGGAAAAAATGCTAGATTTGCAAATTAAATATCGTAGTGTGATTTAATTTTTAATGCTGGATCGGCAATACGTGTCGCAGATTTATGGTTGAATCCTTAAAATTTACGATGAAGACTGCCCAACACAAAACACAAATTCAATTGGGTCAATAATTTTAAATGATGGCGAAACGAGGTCTCGGGCAAAAAGTCGCCAGGACGCTCAAAATCCGTTTCTTCCACAGAAAGGCTCCGGAAACTAGAGGAACAAATAATGAGAGATCCGCGATTGAAACTGTCCTATTTGGCAGATGAGATGGGTGTTTCAAAACCAGCAATTTGTTCCATGTTAACTGAACACTTAGGTATGAAAATGGTTTCCGCCCGTTGGGTACCAAAATTGCTTTCAGCATCTCAAAAACAGGATCGAGTCGACTTTTGCAATGCCAATTTTAACCTATTGAATGAAGACTTGAACCTGCTCAATATTTTATTAGTTGCATATGGTACTTGGGTTTACTATTATGACCCGGTGACCAAATAATAATTCCCTCAATGGAAGCACGAGGGGTTGCCACCGCCCGTGAATTGAAAAGTGCAAAAATCTGACAAAAAAATGATGATGACCACTTTCAAGGATACCAAAGGTCCCCTCCTTATAAAATTTATTGCTGTAAATACTACAATAAATGGGGCCGTGTATGCAGGAACCCCGAAGGAGCTGCGTCCTCCGGTTGAAAAGAAACGTGGGGTCAAAATAAAGAGTTGGCCTTTTTTTAGACGACAACGCGCCACCTCATACCTGGCTTTTTGCGAGGGTTAGTGCAGACGAAAATCGCTTTACCTGCACAAACCACGCCCCGTGCAGTCCAGACTTGTCCCTTAGTGATTATTATTCGTTTCGAAACTTAAAGAAAAACATCAGGGGAAAACGGTTTTCGGATGATAATGAAATCAAGTCGTAAATTTTGGCATATTTTCGAGGTAAATTTTAATGAGTTATTGCTAGTGTTAATGTTAACCTACAGAACTGAAAAAAATCACAGCATTCTAAAAGTATTTGAAGTTTGTTATTTCATCAAAAGTTTGGTCAGAAACAGTGTGGAACATACATTTTGAAAATTAATAATAAAACACCCACGTAAATGACTTACCACTGGTGTTATCAACGGTAAAAGGTTCCATGTTCCAAAAAGAAGATCGGAAAAGTTAAACAGTGTTTTAAGACGAGCTCTCAACGCAGGAATCGGAATATCTTGAAGACGATGATACTGCGATAAAACAATATTTTAACTTGTTTTTGTATTGAATAAATTAACTTTTATAACAAAGTTACCTGTGGGGGGACGCAATCAGGGGTCCCTAATTTTAAATCTACGCCAAATTGCAAATTTACACCACGCACAGCACGCGGGGCCGTCCTGTTAAGCAAATAATAAAATACGGATTTATTTATTTACATATCAATCTGTGAATGAGATTACATTTTCTTGCTCTGAAAATATACATTATGAAACCCGAAACAAAATTATTCTTAGCTTACCAAGCCGCGCTGTGAGTTCTACCTGCTGACACCTATTAGATACAATATAGTGTACGCATTAGTTATTTCATGAACACTAGTATATTTACATATATGCAAAGATTGAATTACTTGTTGCACTCCACGGGCTGATAACATTGCAATTTTTTCAGGTTCTCTCACAGTTAATGTATGTCCTAATCCAACCTGCCCGTCCGTATTTGATCCCCATCCAAAGACTTCGCCAGCTAATCGAGTTATTTAAATTTAAAGTGTATTTACAAGTGGGCATTCGATTAACATGCTCGTTTAATTCCAGTTGAAAAATAAAACCTGTTTTTCTTACCAGAAGTGACACCCAGAGTATGCTCAGCACCAACAGCTATATCAACTAGGTGTTTATCCGCTAAACTCATTATCTGCAATCATAATCACAGTAAGCATCAGTTAAAAGAAAATTAGGACAAAAGTAGATGCATACAATGCATGATACTTAACAATTACAATTTGTATTATTTAATGTCATACCTGCGCTGGTCGGTTGCAACATCTCACGTGCGGTTGACCAATCAAGCGGTCCATACCACAACTAAAAAAATATATAATACATTCATTTACCTGCTCATGAATGACTTCTTTCCATCCTTTCAATGTTATTAAACCCTAAAATGTATTTAAAGTTTGTGCATAATTTATTTCTAACGTACGTGTATATCCTTCCGTCACATGTCAAGAAAACTGAGAATTGAGTTCCGCAACATACTTTCTCGATACCAATATCTTGCAAGCTGAATATAAAAATAATAATAAATTGACCCGAGAAAAACAATTCAGAATATATGACAAATCTGTCAACCAACCTATCAATGACTTGCGGACTTCCGACGGTATTTGTCGTCCCCAGACCAAGTTTACCGTTTTCACCGTCTCCGAAAGCCCAAACTGTTTTCTTATCGGCAGAAACGCATATAGTATGCGCTAGTCCTAATTTTTTTCCAAAGTAACAAAATTTAACTTGTTACTAGTAGTTTAATAATTTCAGAACGAAAGAAAGAACTTTTCTTACCACATGCAACTAATCCAATCTTGTTATTTCCGAATGCAGTGATCTTTTCGGGAATTTTCTTGTTGCCAACATTGCCGAGTCCTAGGCGTCCATACTCGTTCGACCCGAACACAAACACTGCTCCATCCGAGGTCAAAACAGCACTATGTTTGAACCCACACGCAACCTGTAGAATAATTGTCCCCAAGTTAAAATAGGAAAATTAGTTGAATGAAATAAAAAAAAACTGATTTACTTGAACGACGAATTCATTTTTCAAGGCTTCAATCTGTTTCGGCCTACGCATTCTGTCTGAATTACCATGGCCTAATTTACCTGTTAAAATTAGGTAATTTTAGTAATGCATAAAATTCATTATAATTATGGTTCCTTGTACTGGTAGTGGTATTTGTTATAAGTAAGATCAGGGGGATTACCATAGTCTCCATCGCCTAGAAAGGAATGAAATAAATAAAAGTATTCTGATATCACAAAATATTAAATTAAATAACACTCAAATATACCCCATGAGAAAACTACCCCGTCTTCGGTAAGTGCAAGTGAATGGCCATCAGACCCACAGGATGTTGCAAGAGAAACCACAATGTAGCCGGATAATGTGGAAATAGTAGTCAGAGTATTCATGTCTGTAACAAAGAACAATTTGAATTAGACTGGATTCACGTGGCGTCGGCATATGATATGAAGACATATCCAAACATTTGAAGTTTGAATATGTTTTATATCTTTCTTCTCCAATTTACCTTCAGAATTGCCATGTCCCTAAATTTCCCAAAATATGTTACAAAGTAAATAATGATTTAAATCCGATTTAAATGAATGATTTAAATGAATTAAAATTAATTTCCTACCAGTCGGCCATAGCTTCCTTCGCCGATTGACTGAATCGACCCTGAACCCTGAATCAGAAATGTGCAATTTTGCCCGCATACTAATTGTTGTGCTCCTGAAAACGCTGGGGACAGTTTCGGTGTGGTTACTTGTCGTCCGGCTAGTTCTATATACATAAATATATATATATTAAAAACTTTCATGCAGAATATATTCGCAAATACAACCAACCTCCTTCTCCTAACTGGCCATGACGGCCATTTCCCCACATGTAGACTTCACATTTTCCTCCGAATTGCCAATCTTGTGGAATAGTTCTAACACAATGAAAGATTAATACGAGTTTAAAAGCCTAAAATTTAAGAAGCCACTCCAAAACCGTATTATTGACATGACTTTTTATTTACCTGGCCCAGACCATTAGCTGTGAGTCCATATCCAAACTCCAAACGGTTGACTGACCATCCGCCCGACGAATAGCCTCCTCCTCGTCTAGAAAGGGCAGGAATATAGAACGAACAAAAAAATACTCACCAATATATACTCAACCGTATATGTGCATATGCTTTTTCAGTTGTACCGATTTTAAATCTCTCGACAAAGTCCGTAGGCAACTTTGTGCGGAAAATGAGAGACTCTGCCGTACGAATAGTCAATCCCAAATTCGCTAACCATTGCCAGTTTTGGTTGTTGAGATTTAATGGATCAAGGGAAGTTCTTAGGATTTTATCAAGACGAAGGCTCAATGCAAGAGCGGCCAAACTCTGTAAATACCTCGAGTACATCAACTGATCTCCGTTTTCAACATTCGGTCGCTCGTAATTGAATTGATCCTACATTGATACAAAATGGATTCACGAATTCAAAATAGTATGATTATAGACATAACATTAATCTATTTCATTAATCCAAAATATTTACTTTTAACAATGCTGTCAGATGATTAAGCAGTTGCTGAAATAATGGATTAATTACATGTAATCAGTGACCTTGTATATGCATATGTAACATTCAAGATTAATATTGTTACTACCTTAAACATTGGCATTAAATGTAGGGAATAAATGCCCTGTTTAAGTAAACTCAAACGACACTCGGCGAACCCAATATCTAATATCAAGTTTTCTTCAGCATAATGAGGAATTTTTGAACCCTGCTTCATAAAATAATTAATTAATTAAACACTTTATTATTTATCGCAAGTATGATAGCAAAGGTTATAGACTATAAAACTCCTTACACGAAACATTGCTTCCCGAGATGACAAGCATTTCACTAACTGTTGAATGGCCCACTGTCGGTGACCTCCTGACAATTTAGCCGACATTGCACAGGTAGCTAATGACTCGATTAAGCACAGAGAAGCGTCCAGGATGCTAGGATTTGCTCCAGTACCATCATTATTAAAATCTACATTTTAATTAATAAACTCTTGATAACTATTTAAATCATAAAAAAACGTTGCAGATCTGATGTATATTTTCACCTTGTTCTAATATAACTGAAGAGTTTTCACTCATCAAGCTCACAAGCGACATGGTCACAACGAGGTTCGGATGTCGAATGCTTTCCATAGCTGGATCAACTTTAATGAATCCCACAGCAGCACTAAGTAGTTCCTGATATAAAAGATTAGAAATTTATCAACCAATGTTATATATGAGAGTGAAAAAGGCATAACAATGTTATATTATCATCTACTTGGATTATAAATTCTTTAATATATTTAAAAAATACCCTTGTACACATTTCCAAAACCGATGTAGCAGAATCTACATTGGTGTTTGTCAATACTTCCACAACTTTTCCGAGGTGTTGTAATTTGGTGCAAGTAGAAGCATCGTATGGCAAGTTTAAAAATGCACTAGGGATTGCTCTATTTGAATCTCTGATATGATAATGCCTACGGTCCTCTTCAGGATCGTCCGATGTTTGAATTCTTCCAGCTGCGGTTAAGCACATTAGCTTAGGAAAAATAAAATATATTGTTAATGTTATTTTATGGACTTCCTGGCTGACATATTATTAATTACATGCGTAATTAAGTAAACTCTTTTTGACATACCTTAATAATTGTATCGACATCAGTTAGTCCAATTCTTTGCAATGCTGCAACCATGTCACAAGATGATTCACTGCACAAATATGTAGAACATGTTAAATATACTTGCAGTTTGAAGATCATAATGTAAGAAAATCATATAAAATTTAAGATTTACCTGATACTCAGAAGGGTCAATGCTTTCATGATGATACTTCTAGAGGATTAAAGGAAGAACAGAAATGACTATTATTAATTACATGCAAATATTGCAATCTAAAGATTTAATCACCTAAATATTGGACAAAAATGCATTTACCTAGCAATAGTAACTTTTCCTGCTTCAACAGAGTTCTTCATTGTGATTATTCGTTGCTTTGACTCGTCCATTGGTAAGATTTGCTCAGCAACTGGGCGAAGACTTGCTGTACATTCTTTGCAAAACAATGAAACAATAATTTAACAAATTATAACAAAATAAGACTCCACGTACACAGGAAACCAATTGGCAAAGCTAGGCATTTTTACCCGTCCGTTTTAAATCAGCAACTTTGTCAGCAACGCTAGAGCCCAATGGGTCACATTGATCAAAAGGAACATTGTCGGGATATGGCTTTCGTTCAGTGAGTCCTAAATATGGCAACATTTTAAATTGTCATTAAACTGGAAACATTATGGAATAATCTCATTGACCCACCTAAATATGCCAGCATTCCACTTCCGGGGTCTACAACCTCTCTATTTAGGAAGGACGATGAAGCTCTACTAAAGGAGTAAATTGAATGATCGTCCCGATTTGCAAAGTCATTTTCATCCAAGGTTTCGCAGTTATTTGCAAGCATAGTTAGCGGAGGCAAAGAAAGGGCAGTTTCATTAACTGACGTGTTTGAGTTGCTGCTATGGGGTCGTGGAATGTTTTCTCCGCCATATTGTTGATAACAATGCTCACAGAGGCCAAATGCAAGTCCTGAGAATTTAGTATTGTAAGATGAGAGGAAGAAAAGATATAATTATTATTAATTATATGCAAATATTGCAATCTAAAGATTTAATTGCCTGATAACTAAATAGGTATTAGACAAAATGCATTTACCTCGAACTTCGCCACAAGCACCTGCAGGATAACGATTATTATTGCTGTGCATAGATATATTGTATGGTATTTTGCAGAATATATGTAATATGATTCATATATGCAATGATAACTATAACTTCAAATTAGTGATTCAAGCACCTTCAGGATATCTTATTCCACATCCCATGTGATGAGTGGTAAAATGACTAAGGACATCATGCTCCAGACTTGAACAAAACAAACATAATCCTCTATCTCCATGCTGAGTACGAACAGTTACTAACGGAATCTGCAAAATTAATTAAAAAGAGCCAAGTAATTAATTACCTGATAGCGTCGCATACATTTTGTAATATATTTCCGTGTATTACCAAAAATAAAGAGCGGTGTCTTTGCAATCGATGATTGGTGTGCATTGCATCTGATCTCGCAATTTGGTTACTGGCCTCGGTGGCACTTTCTCCAGCAAATCTAATGAACCTACCATCCTGGACCCGATCTCTCGCCGATCTTTCGATCTCCCGATCTCTCGTTAACGTTCGCACTTGCCTATGAAAAGTTTAATGTATTTACATCTTTGGTTATTTCGTAACAATATTGCGTAGTTATGCGTTTATGGTTATGGTTTTGCGTGATCTTAATAATACCGTATGTAGTCTTGGAATGATCTGTCCATTGGAACTAATTGTCCAACTCGCTCTATGCCTACAAGTAAAAGTGCATAAATTATGTAAGTGTTGACATTCATCAACTTGAATGATTCAATCCAACAAGTAAGTAATTTACAAGTTAGCTAAGGATGGTGTTTATGAAATACCTGTTGTTAATGGTTGGTATGCATCGGGTGTACAAGAATTTGATGCTGATAAACTTCGACGATTTTCAGCCTGCTGTTGTTAAAAATAATAGGGATTAGTCGTTACTGATTGTAGGGAGGGCGAAAGCCCAACGAATTATCAACATATAGGATTAGATCTTTAAGTTAAATTGTTACTTACAAGAGATTGTGAAGTGTTGCTGTTATTACTACCACTCCCCGAGTGGTACCCACGCATAGACCGATCAGGAATTATGTTATCTTCTGAGTCTGTACTAGGATTTTCGGACAGCCAAAGACTGAGCTGACTAACAGCAGCCACGGTTAATTCTCCGCTTAGACCCAATACTTGCATTGCTGTTCGTATTTGTCGTGGATTGAACCCCATTTCCAATAAAGGAGTAGGGAGACGGGAACTTGGAATAGAATTCATCAGACTTCGCATCGTAGGAGGAGATGGTGGTCTCTGTCGTCGTCTAGGCGGCCCTGAAAGACTAGAATTTCTGGAGGGAGATGCACCAAGGAAATTACCGGCATGACCGTCAGAGTCTCTCCATAAGCTGCTTTCAAGTCGTTGCCGATCTCGACGTTCTCCATCTTATTAAAAAATATGTGAGATTTTTCAGAAAACTCTTTTTTATACATAGTGTTGAAAAGTAAAGAGATTTGGATGTTACCTGGTGTGTGGCGCAAGGGAGGATATACGCGGCCTGCTAACGACGCCAAAGTCATAGGCAGTCCTCGAAAAGTCCTATTTGAAGTTGTAGCTCTTGGATCAACTTCCTATATATAGTAGTAACATAAATTTACTAAATTTTACTAGACTTTGTAAACTACGTTTACTATATTTGACGAAAAACATACGTTAAGCTGTTGTAGTGGTTTCGGCATTGCAAAATTATCAGGATTTTCTGATAATGAATCTGTAAAGGGGTCTTTGTAACTAAAGTTTGGTCCCACTGCGTCAGTGAAATGCTTAAAATATTGGTGCAAAATAACACACTGCACTCTCTCCAGATCGAGCAGCGAGTACAATGACGATGTCCGACAGGGCTTTATACTTTCCTTGAATAATTATAAAAAAGGTACTGTTATTTTGAATCATGTATATAATGCTATAGATATTGCATATTTTTTTACTGTACCTTAGCCAAGTAAGAAAAAACTTCACTCAAAGCCGCTGACATACTGTCATTTTTGGAGCAGTGATCACACTCATCAGCGGATGGATTGTTTTTCCCACAATTGGGACACATGTATTCAAGGTCATGGTCAATCTTATCAAAGTCTTCTTCCTCTATTTCTTTCTTGCTAGCGCTCGATGAATTGGAATTGCGTTTGTGAGCCTTCGGTACCAAGAGGAGCTCGAGAAAGCTCCCACAGTTTAAAATGTTGCACAAGCTTTTCATGGCGCCAAATTTTATAAATCCAATTTTTATAACCGCATTTTCTAGTTCCAATATTGACTTTTTTGAATCATCCTATAAATGTGACAACCACAATCCATTGATGATATTTAAATAGCACTAAACATCTGTAATAATTCTGCATTAAGTAAAGTATACACACATGTTTGTGAAACATATCTTGCTTAATGGAATTGCAATCGTCATCGGTAGTTGAAGTTTCTTGACTATTTTTTCTTGTGACCTCTTGAACATGGAAAAAATTAGTAGTTAATAATTTTTGCAGCAAAGAACAAAGCAAAGTGATTCAATACCCTGAATAATATCGGACACCATTTGTGACGACAAAACTTCAACCGCAGTTGAAGAGTTACCAGGTGTTGACGTCTGATTTATACCATCGGTTGTAGATGGTCGTTGGTGAATTTCAGGTGCATACGAACCCCACAGAGTTGCATCCACTCCTTCTCCATCAATGCATTTTAACGATGTAGTCATCTCTTGATTTGTCTCGGAAGGGTTTTTATTTTCGGATTCATCAATATAAATTTCAAATGGATGGTCCACATTATCAGAAGGAAAATCCACCTAAATAAATTTAGTATAACAATGAACTTGATTAGTGACTATAAACCCAAAAATAAATATAAATTATAAAAAACTTACTTCACCAGTCAAGCCGGCGAGTTTGCACAACAATTTCAAAACTTCGGCATTTGCGCATGTAAACTTGGCTGCATCAAAGGACTTGCTTGGTAACGGCTCCAAGCTTGATATAGCCGCATCACTGTCACAAAATAATTTAAATATTAGAAATACGTCTGCGTATAATAGGAGTAGCATATACATAAATGTGTAAGCATAAATATATATGTACATATGCATATAAATAATATTATGTAACAAAAGACTTTACCTAACGGAAGACTCTGGGTCTTCCCATTGTACTTTCACAGTTGTAAGTCCAGCTTTTAAAGCCCCGAGAATGACGCCTCGTCGTCCAGTAGGTTTATGGACACATTTAGCACCAACTCGTGCTAAACAAAATTAAATAAAGTATAAACTTGTATCGATTTCTGTAGGTATTGTACATATAGTCCCGTGTAAGTAATGCCAAAGATGATATCAATAAAATTAATTTCGTCCTCACCACCTCGGTCAATCCCACCCATTACGGCTAATGCAGGCCAAACTTCTTTACATAGCTTGTCAATGTCTTCAAAACTATCGGGTCTGCATTTCTTTGTAATTTTTTCTGTACTGTTACAAATATTGATTGTCTCAATTGGATCGTCGTCATCACAAACTTCTGAAGGTGTGGATGGTGTTGGTGTTTTGTCTCCATTGCAATAGATTAAAATGTCTCGTGCATTGAGTAGGCGTTCCATTAAGCAATCATTTACCTACATATTCGCCAAAAAATAATAGCCTTAATTGTTATCAATTGTTACCATAATGCAAATCTTGATTAAAAGTAATGCGTATACCGTTTTTGTCCACACATCATTAGAATGAAGTTTACGAATAAGTGCTACATGAGATTCTGCAAGAGTGCTTCCAACGGGCGAGCAGAACGGCTCCGCAGCCATTAATGTTTTTAAAGGACGTTTAGGTTCATAATCCGTAATTTTTACCTATATCGAATTTAGTTTATCCATCATAAATAAAATAAAGTACTAGGAAATATGCTTATAGTTTACTTTTTCTCCAGGGTTGGTACTATAAAACAATACGCAAGGGAACACTTCTGCAAAGGAAACAGAACACTATCATTTGATTTGATACCGGCACACTTTCTAAATGAAAACAATGCTACGAACCTGCAGCATCAACATCTTGGAATGCAACAAGAGGCTCTTCGCCATTTTTTCCAAAACTAAGAGTTTTGTTGTCCACGTCCAGGATAACGGTAATGTAGTCTCCCTGAATATATATTATGACAATTAGCAGTGTACAATTCTTAACATTGTACAATTGCTTACTTGAGTATAGCTTGGAAGCGTGTTGGAATGCTCTCCTTTGTGGTATAAGTTTCCACTAATTTATTCAAACATAATAATAAAATCTCAGTGTGGTTAGAAAAAACACAAACATAAATTAGTAAATTATTACCTGTATGCACGATATAGCCACATATCCGAACCTACATCAACCAAATATGACAATTAGGACAATGTATGTATATTGTGCAAATATATAGATCAAATATATGTAAATAACATATTTATGCTATGCTTCATATTGCCACAGGCAAATCATTTTCTCACAATTTAATAAATAAATCAACTCACTACTTCTATGACTCGGATCAGTGATGGGCAAACGACAAACTCCAATACACACTCCTTCATTTCCTCGGTTTTCTTTGACAATTAAAAATTTCCATTGGTGACATCCTAAAACCAAATAAAATCATTACATGTCACAGCAGGTAATAACCTTTAATTATAAAGTAAGCTATTCTACCTGAAGAAAACCCCACGTTTGCAACTCCATAACCTCTACCACCTAAGATAACAAACGATGGTTATTACGTCCATCTCATTCACGTTGGAAGTAATACTTACTAACAAATATAATTTTGCATACCTCGCCCATGTACTAGAGTCTGACAATTTTCAATAAAGCAGCACGTTCCTTTTTCTGAGTCGAACATCAACTTGATGCTATCACTTTTGTCGGTAAACAACGTGTCGCCATAAATGCTGCGGCATATTTCATCTCTATACAGAATGTTCTGCTTTGCTTTCTCATATGATGGAATGAGCCACATTGCATCTTGCAATTGTAAGAGCAGTTCTTTGACAACCTGCATATAATTGATACAACAAACGTTCAAAATTTGTACTTTCCGTGACATTATACGCCTTTTTAATGGACCTGTTCTTTGAAGTCGGCTCCCTCGTTGGTGGCAAGTAGTAAAACTGATTCAAGAAGTTGAACGGTTAATAATCGTGGTCGGATGCCAGGAGTAAGCAAAATATTTTTATAGATATCTTTTCCAATTGGAGATAGGTTAAATTCAGAATTTGTAAGAAATTGACCATCTTCACTCGAACTTGGAGACGCACTTTCCACACTTTCCACGCTTTCTCTTCCGAGTTTTAAAAACAAATCAACGTCATCACAAGGTTTACACGAGATGAATGACATCAATAGCTTAATCCATTGATATCTGCACGAAATGATTCAAAAATTATTATTATATACAGGTTCAAATGAGAATTGAGTATACTTATCTACACACGGCACATATTTTTAATTGATAAATGATGAGTACAACAAAAATAATTTCGCTAACCTGCATAAATATTGTCCCATTGGACCGTTAGAAATTAACCTGCGGAGAAACACCAAAGAGTCACCCAATCTCATTTCCAGGTCTTGCTTTTCTGCAGGAGTTAGCAATTTTTGCTGATTCTAGGTAAATAGTAAAACAATAAATTAATATACACATGTACATATATATTTTTTGGGAGATATTTAATTAATTTGGTTTTTAAATATAATTTACAAATGCAGATGAACAAATTGGCTTTTGCGAATCTGTGACTGGAGATAAAGAGGCAACTGGAGTATCTGGAGTTCCTTGTGGAGTTGGCGAACTTCCATCAATATTGCATATTCGATCCCCACACAACGCTGTCAACATTCCATAAACTTGTCCATGCATTATATCTACAACTTTCTCCACCAGTCCTTCGTTTAAGGAGTCAATATGAATTCTGCATAAAAAGAATGGAGACAAAAAATATTCGTCATGTATTAAATTAACAATTAATATTTAAAAGCTATTATTTATTATTATTATTATTATTATGTACTTACGCCGTTGAAACGGTCAAAAGCTGGAGTAGTCGTATGCTGGCAAGTGTAACATAATGGGATAGTGGCAAACCAGGCCAAAGATCGTGCTGACTTTTCACATGAGTAGTAGAAGATATAAGCTTCTCAAGAACTGGCAACAGTCCTGAACTGACGACGAGGTCCACGTCTTTGGCTTTGAAGCGACAACTTAGAGCAAACACATTCAACAGCTTGACTTCTTCGCTTTGGAATGGCATGATAGTTCTTTTAACGATCGAGCTCAAAGAGGTATTATCTGGAGTAAATCCACGTATACTGACTATGAGCCAACGCATAATGTTGTGCACAACCGTGATTAGTTGATTTTGTAAATTAATTGGAGCGGCTTGTACGTAATCCAAATAGTGCGCCAACTGTACTTTGATTTCCAGCTCTAGTGTTTCAAGTTTTGGAGAAAACTGAAGAGGAGGGGCAGATAACCCTAGTTGATAGCACCCTGCTAATAGAAACTCATGCACAGATGACAAAAACTCATTGCTGTTGACAGTTTGAGATTGGGTGTCATCATCTTCACAATTTTCCCTCGAAGTGGACATTAATTCTAAAATGTGATTGAATGCATCTATTCGAAGTTTTGCACGTTCTTCCTGTTGCTTCAGAGCTTTGATTACACACTGTGGTTCTGAATTCCAGCCGCTTGGATCTTCTAAACTATCGCTGTACCAATCTTGTTTGGACATGATAACTTCAGATGCAACAAATCGTAGCAAATTCCGACCAAGACGACGAACGCATTCAACGCCGGCAACGGCTTCTTTCTGCTGCATATCAGATTTCATACCTCCATTACTGTTACTGTAGTATCGACTTTCAGGTGACCGAAATGTTTCTGAACTTTTAGCAGATGGAAGATTTTCAGCAAAATCATCTCTTTCACTATGAATATTGTCCATCGTATTGCTGAAATTCCCAGATTTGTCATCAGAATGATGATGAAATGTGGTTGATGACTGCACACCCAATATGAGTAACATGGAATTTCTAATAAGTTTGTGACAAATCTGATCATAGCCAAGTTCAACAAGTGCGGGTGTCGTAACAGGTAAAACATCATCCACAGCTGGGTCGTCCGGATCAGGATTTTCAACAGAAGTAGAACCAGATTGAAGAATATTTACAGCATCATTCGAGTGCTGCTGCACTAGTAGTGGTGGATTTGAATTGCTACTAGTGGCATAAAATTCAGAATTATGAAAACCTCCAGTAGGAGGAGGGTGCTCTGGAGATTCAGGTTCATGCAGTAAAAAGTATCCATTGTGTGTGGGATCACGATTAAGGCCATCCGTTTCTAAATCCATTGTTAAATCCACAATTGGAGGTTGGAGAGCTGGAAATAGATTTGTAGAACTCTGCTGGTTGTTGTTGGGCTGAAATATAGAGGCTTCTTCTTCGTTATTATGAATAACTAAGGAATTAAATACTCCTCTTCCCCTTCCTCGACCTCGGCCGGAACCCCTCACGCTAGTTCGCGCATTAAAAGCCAAATGTCGCATTCTTGGTGGGCTTTGATATCCCTCAACCTCACTGTCATAAAACCTCCAAGAAGGTCGGTTAGCCGACAACTCCATATTATTGATTTGTGCCGAATCTGATGCGGCAGAAATTCTCAAGTCGTTCATAAATTCACTCGGTTCCTGCAAACGACCAAGACTGGATGATGAAGACGATGTGCGAATCATGTGACGTTGAGATGATGTTCCAGCGATTGGGGTATCTTCATCTGACACTTCAATCCAATCATGTGCTCTTGTATCAATAATTGAAGGCGAAACAGAACAAACACCACCACCGTCCTCTTGATTTTGAGGGTTGAATATTTCTTCAGTTGATGATATTAATAATCCTTTAATAAGTTTTTCTTGACGGATGGATATCAATCGGGTTCTCACATGGAATACCAGGCCAAATAATTCATCAAGTTTTGCACTATGCCTGGATTCCGTTCTAAAAAAACAGGGAAAGATTCATTATAAAATAAAGCTCACAATCGACATGATTGTCCGCAAATAACATGTGTATATTCATTATTCATAAATTCTTACACCGACATCATCATCATTTGGGCTAGTAAACCTGTATGTTTGATTAAAACTAGCAGCAAAACTCTTGATACTGAATCCAGCAAAGGATCGTCGACATTTGATCCTCCTCCGGCAGACTCCCAGTCTGAAAAAAAACAAACATACAAATAATCCTATAAAAGAAAGAGTTTGAAACACTTACCTAAACTCTTGGCATGTTCAAACATTAACTCGTATAGACAAGTCACTGTGTTAGATGAAACCTATCAAAAAACATTTGAGGCTATTTAAATTTATGTATGATTAAATTTTCAAGAACTATTTATAAATAACAAAAGTTCTCACGCAGTTATCATCCACGGGGATTGGAATAATCATTTGGAATAACTTTTTCAAGTCATCCGTCATGTTGGAAGATCCCAATGCGCATTTTAATGTTTCGGTCCATTGTGCATCTCGATTTATAAAAATATTACTAAATCCATCCATTGTACTCTCAGCAAATGCCTCCTCCATGCCATGTGATAGCAATCGATTAAGTAACCAATTTTTACAGTTAACTTCTTCTTGAATCATCGGTATTCCTCGAATACGGTCGCCCACAAGTCTCCCAATTAAATGAGCACATGTTCTTTCCATGTCGAAAAACCAGGTCCAAACACTAGACAATTTTTCATGCTCAGAATCGGAAGCAGTAGGAGTATCAGCATCTATATCACATCATTTATTATGAGTTTAATGTATACATATGTATACAACTGCAACATGCATACCGGGATTCCATTCTTCGGAGTGACGTAGTGCTTCAGTTGGAGGTAGTGATCGTACTACATCTTCCATACGAACAACAAGCTTCAATAAACTTCCCACTGCAAGGTGATAACCCCGACCGATGGGAAGCAGCATTGTGTTCAAAATTCGTGACACCATTGATCCACAGAAAGAAACATAAATTACGCCTGCAGAAAAATTTCAGAAACTTAACGTCTTTACATATCCCAGTTGTATGTACAACTAAAAACATCACAAAACATTTTTTAAATAATTGGGCGACCGTTCTCGTACTTGCAACTCGTATGTGTAGAGTCTGCTTCCGCTTGAGAATAAATGCAACTTGTTTAAATATTTCTGTAGCCTTTTCCAACAACAGAACGACATGGTTGCATAATATATCCCACAAATTGCTCTTCTGCAAAAAAAATAAGATGTTTTACTGACAACAATAGGATATATATGTATTCACTTACCAGTGTGTCTTTGGAGCATATTAAATACGAGAAAATGTGATTTTGCAATGATGTTAGCAAGTCCGATAATCGCTGATTGAAAAAACTAATGACTTCTTCATCCTCATTAGACTCGACGAGAAGACGATCAAGTCGTTGTTCCTACAAAGAAATGGGCAATGTAAGAGCACACCGTAAGAAATTTTTACAACATAATATGTATAAATAGTTACAGTACGTTTTAAACACGAACGTTTAAAACACATACCAGATTCGTGCATAATATATTTAGCACCAGAGTCATTAGTTTTTGAGTAGAGTAAATATCATCTGCTGAAAAATTATCCACTGGCTTTTTAGATTTGACCACTCCAAGACCCACCAAGACCCCTACTTGTTGATGGTCTTCTAAACTGGTGAGAATGACTTCACACAGCATTTTCTAAAATTTATTACATAAAAATAATAAGTCAAACTTGTGATAAATACAGACAAAAAAATCATAAAGCAATTATTTAATGAATTATTATCATTATATGTACCTGGCCCTTGCTGAGATTTTGTACGTCATGCAACATGTCTAATAAAAGTGACAATTTTTCCTTTAAAGGAGGTAGTAATATAGGGGCGCCAGTTACAAGAGTTTCGCCAACTAATTGTTGAACATTTTGAGGAAGATCGATATCGAGCATTCTGGAAAATGTAAATGTGTTATTCGGTGGTAAGACGTAAAGTTGAAAAAAGAATCATCCTACTTGAACAAAAGGGTCCTCAGCATTGACAATTCGTTTTCCATCATATCACCCAGGTTTTGATTTTGGACCATTTGATAGCAATGACTATTTAAAAGTCTGAGGCATAAGATAATGAATTGCTGGTGCTCGCTGTTTATAGTAACTCAATTAACACTTTGCACTAACAATGAAGGCTGTCATATATTGTATGTATGTATCATACATACCTTTCTGAATCAAAGGGCTTGATCAATTTACTAAAGTCCAGACCGTATTGTTGCAATAGATTTCGAAGCATTGTGATAGTTTGAACCTTTGTATCCATCCAGAATGACTGCTTATTTCTGATTCGACTAGTAAAAAAGAATATTAATAGAATATAAGCAGATATTTTGACAGCCGTTTAGGAATAATATGTGACTTACGTCAACAAGTTAGAATTTGTCCAAGCAACGGAATGGCTTGTTCCTGCAGAGATTCCTTGAATTGCTACTCCTTCCAATGCAATTATTTTTCGGGGAATTAGAGTCGGCGAAATTGTATTTCCACTTCCACACTAAAAATGGTTTACAAAATACAAAACTTATTTAATTTAAAATGTATTAACAAACCAGAAAGGTTATAATAATTGACTAAGCATAGTACATGTTCCACTCTAATATCTGTGTAGTAAAATTATTTAAAAGTCTCAATAATATTCTAAGATACCTGTCCCATTGCATTGTTTCCCCAGGCGTAGCATTCATTCTTATCTGTTAAAGCTAGCACGTGCGACTCTCCAATGGAGATATCAACCATTTTTTCTCGAACCAGTGCCTCAATTCTCTCTGGTAGCATAACTTTGGTCTCGTTAGCCTCTCTTCCTAGACAAACCCCTGTTCCCCATGCGAACACCTGCAATTAAGAACAATAAGTGATGGAAGAAACAAGAGAATGTTAATGTTCGATTAATAATTAAAGGACAATTTTGACATGTCTATTATGTTTAAATAATATTAGAAATTTCTACCTCTCCATTACTCGTAATGCAGAAAGATGTGTATGAACCAGTCGCAACTTTCATAATCACATGTCCTTGAAGAGCTTCGATAACCTGATTGAAATATACATACATTTCATAATTGTGAAACAGCAAAATTTTTTAGTTTTCTGTTTGTTTTCTTACCCTCGGACGAATTTCACGAGAAACGTTACCGTTTCCCAGCTTGCCATACTCTCCTAATAATTATTACTGATAATTTTTGATATCAAATATACCGTATTTTATATATTGATTATGTATTTATAATCTATATATTAATAATTATATATTATTAAGATTTATATATTATTAATATATTTTACATACCTGCACCCCAAGACCAACAGATTTTACCACAATTCGATAGCGCAAGTGTATGACTCCCACCTGAATATATATTTAATTCAAATATCAAAAAAGATTCATCAGATTTAGATAATTATTTACAAATGCTAATTTACCACAAGACACTGATCCAACATTACAAACATCTTTTACTAAAGTTGGAACTTGGCGATCGTTAGTATCTCCCAAACCTGATACCATTAATAAAAGAACAACATTGTATTATTACATAAACTATTGTATTGTGCATATAAAATAATCGGTCATCGTACCAAGTCGTCCTCCTTCTCCTTCACCCCAACAAAACAGCTCCCCTGATTCGGTAACGCATGCACTGTGACGATATCCCGCAGATATGTCCTTTACTACCTTCCCAGATAATGCCCCTTGTATTTGCTTTGGAAATTTCTCAGTTGCCACACCACCATGTCCAAGCTATTTAAATATTTAATTAAATATTATTTAACAACCATTTAAATTAAATAATATTTCATATTTACCTTTCCATAATCCCCTGATAAGCGGGTATAAAACTTGCATCATCAACATTCAATAAAACACAGTATAGATAATATATGTATACTAATGCATACCATCGCCCCATGAAAATACTCTACCATCGTACGTCAATGCTAAGGTGTGCCCATCAGAACCTTTTGATGAGGAAATTTTGATGAATTTTGTATCCGACGGCAAAGGTAATTGCTTAGGGATCGGTTGGTTGTTAGAATCTCCAAGGCCAAGCCTGCCGTAACATCCTTTCCCTGTTAATATAAAACATATTTTTGAAATAACTTCCAACGTACTCAATGTAACTTGAAAATAAATATACAAAGAATAGATTTTTGATACAACGTACCGCAAGCCTTGAGTGTCCCATTTGATTGAATAGAAAATGTACAAAATTGACCAGCTTCGACCTATATTATTAGTATTTTATTTATGTGTATTACTAATTGTTTGATTTAATAATCAGTTTAATGGAATTGCAACCAAATTATTATTGCAGTCAGAACTCTATAACTTACAGAGTCTACATCAGAAAAAGAAGTAGCCAACTTTGGTAGCATCATTCTATCAAGCCCTGTCTCACCCAACTGATAGGACGAATTTGACCCCCACACGTATATATTTACTTCTGATACTTTATCCCTATTATGCACGGATGAGATTGACAATCCCCCATTATCAAGTTTGTGTTTGAATAAGGTGGAGTAAACTTTGGATTCTTTTAAAGAGTTGTAGGTGGTAGAATTCTTCATATCTGACGAATCGGCGCAAACAGATACATTCACCAACTATTTATAATAACACATAAACACAGACATGTTTAGAAAAATATTTTGCATTTAATTAAAATTGTTGAATTATCGGCCAGTGTCGATATTCAATTTACTTCATTCATCAATATCACGGCGGCTGAATAGACATCAAGTTTATCATTGTTGAACGTTCCTGAAGTACTCCACGTTGATTCAACTTCTTGTACAGAAATTCTTCGAACTGCGGCCATTGCAGAAAAAGTAATATTCTTAGAAACGTAGAGGTCTTGACCATCTTGTCTGCTACTATTTAACGCCATTTCAATCCATTCCAACATATGCAAAAGACTACCGCGTTGAACAGCCATACCAAGTAAAATTTCAGCTGCAAGGACGCCACCTAATTATAAAACAAAGTTTCGAGACACGTGTAATCACTCAATCGTTGTATGACTGCTACTTATTTTGTTTTTGCTTACTTTCAATATCGGCTCCATAATCCTGCATCACAACTTGCCTTAAAAATTTGGATACTTCTTGTAGACTTGAAGTCCCTAATGGAGGTATTTTGGATTCGTCAGCAAGGGACAGTGATGGCAAATTCCAAATTACTAGAAAAAAATTCAGCTTTCTCAATGTTCACGTAATGAGTATAATAAATTACGACTCACCATCAGATGCCGTCTGTAAAATATCTCGACAAAGCCCTGCATGAGCTGCATCAGAGAGGAAAATTACAACGAAACTTAGTTTTGTATTTAAAAATGATTATAATTACTGTGTTCTTTACATACCTGTGTTTTGAATCCAGTTAACTTTCAATATACTGAACAATAAAGTTAATCCTGTCTTAACCCCGAGTTCTATTAGTGAATCCGTAGAACTAGATTCTAAAGTCTTGGACATCTCTTTTATTTCAATTACGGAATCATTTCTGGTAGTCTTTAAATTTGATGCCTAATCCATAATTTAACAAAATATAAGTATTCGATTAATTAATGTGTTATATCTCGAATCTCCCAAACTTAATATTATTTGACGGTTATGAAATTCTAAATACAAAAATCTAAATAAACAAATTGTTCATACCTCTATAATGTGGAATTTGGCATACAGTATTCTGTGCAAAACAAGCATCCGTTTTCGTAAAATTACAAAAAATGGAGATTCAAGACAAACGGTGGACGCTAATTCTAGCTGGGCAAGTAATTGCGATAAGATGTAGTCTTTTTGTTCAGCAACAGATGAAGGTTGGCACTCGTAATCAGGAATGTTCACTGTTTGATTTGTCATTGGCTTTGAAGGATTGATACAGACTTCCTGAATAAATGCGACATCATTGCAAATTAAGTATAAATTAATAGTGTCATATTATGTAAAATATAATAACTAATATTTGTACCTTTGAGGCCACAAGATGTTCAAAGAGATTAACTGTTCCTTCCCTGATGGCGATAGCATCACAGTCTTCAAATGCCCAGGCAGAGTTGTAGCGGTCGGACCACTGCGCCTTGTAATTCGGCCCCCCGATATTAGGAAGGTCGCTGGAACTTGGAGAAGAAGGAATGTTGCCATTGTTGGAGTTACCCTGAGATGCCATTTTCCCGTGACCAAGTTCCGGCTCTAAATTGTTTATGAAATTCAAATTAATTAGTTGGCTGAACATGCATGAATTCACATTGATTAGGTAGAAGTGGGGATCTGTACATACATGCGTTATTTATCTTGTAACAATGTTATTAGCTGTGTTTGAAAATTAGATGAACGAAAACTGGGTTATACGCGGAAAGTTTATGCTACTGATTAGAATTTGTGGTTAAGCATGTGTGATTTATATGATAGTGGATTTTGTCAATATTTTATAAGTTCTGAAAAAAGTCGAAGGACAAAACGTATGTAAATGACAAAACGGAGGAAATACGGAAAATTTTGTCACGATGACAATTTAAAACTTACCAATAAGTAAGTCGATTTATCACTTTTTCAGTCCATCCACTCCAATCCCAACTATCTCAACGTTAAACTTAAATTTTGTACAAGTTGGTCCCATTTCCTTTATACAAAAGAACACTTCACATATAATTTTTGACACTATCAGTGAGCACACGAAGTTTTAAAAAATCTGAAGTTAACTTACCTTATTTAGTATTAGTGGGCAATGTAATTTAACTATAAATTATTAAATGCATCTTCTCAGAGCAGTCGGCTGACTTGTTTGTTGTTGTCGGGTGTTAAATCGAAAGAAGTCAGCTGATTGAATTTGGCACCCTCAGTCAGTTCCACATGTTCACTTTCGCTTTCATTCCCGAGTAATATTAATTCCATAATGCGAAAATGCAGGAATATTTATATGTTCATCAGAGCCCAGTATGATTTTTGCTACCTCCATAAATTGTAACTGTATGATTAATGATTAGTAATGCTTTTTCATATAGCAAAAGTCTTTATTTTTGAAGGTTTGTTTCATAAAATACCTAAAATACTAACTAACACATAAAAATGTATGCATATATTTCATATTCAATGGAGTTAACAAATTCGGATTGAACAGCAAAGGTGGCAAGGGTGCACATTCATTTTTTAACCTCAGAGAAAGCCTTGACTCTCTGCTTTCTTTATGCCTTTTATTTCCTCTCACTCTTCTTCGTCGATCCTTCGTCACGGAGGAAAAGGAAAGCAAAAATAAATCACTTTTTCCTCACTGGTGGAGAGAACACGAGAGAGCTTTCTTTTGCCATGTCTCCCCCTTCTCCTCAGGATCAGACAGAACAAGTTCAGTTACATGTACGTTTTGCATGATGATTGATGGATGGGTGAGAAATGAGTGAAAGTGTTGTTGTTTGCTATTTGTTTGCCACACACACAGTTACGTTGTTGTTGTGAGTAATGTGTAATGCACACAGGCTCATTTTCATTCCCTACCCGACAAAAATGCACAAAACATACTCCATAAAGCCCATAAAGAAATGTAGAAGCGGTGCAATTTGCATACGTTTGGTAGACATTTGCAGTCTCTCTGGGGAAGAATTATTAATCTTCTGTCTCGTGAGGTGGATTCATATCAAGTTTACGGTCATAAATGAACAATGGTGAATAATCTGATGACTGGAGTTCAGAAAAATATACATGCAAATAAAATGCATGACTAAAAGCCTAATCGTAGTTGTCTTATGTGCATGAAGCATGGCTTTGATCTATGTATGGACTACACCCAGACCACTTTTACTTGTGCGGAAGATGAATGAAATTGACCATGAGTAAGATGGCTAAATATTTTTGTATGAAGCATACATATGCAGTTTCGTATCTAAGTAGTCGGTATTGCGTGACATGTGGAAAAAGTATTTACATTTTCAAGTCTGAAAAGATTTCAGTTTTATTTAAATTGGCATGATTAGGTTTTAAATTTAATAAAATTAAATATGCAACGACTTGTTTTAGAAAATTGTATCATTACATTTTGCTCTATATACTGTTTTTTTATTCAAGGTTTAATATATTGTAGACATAACACTTTGTTTGTAATTTGTGTAAAGATTATTCTCATCTCGTATAATTACAGAATTCAATTAAGAGGAATTTTTTTTTATTTCTTGTGATCAAGGCAAATATAAAATTCAATTTAGTTTGAAATGGAAATTGCCTGTCCAAAAAGCGAAGAAAGTATAATCGAAGCTCCAATTGGATAAAAAGTTATCTTTTGATTATCTCGCTTCTCTTCTCTCTCTCTCTCTCTTTGCTACGTTGTTGAGAAGTTATCAAATTTATGAAGTGGTTGGGCCCAGACACTGATAGTCCATCCTGCTATTGTGCTGTCCTTGGTCTGGATATCATCGGGCCGGGTGGAGAAAGTAGATGATGATGATACTTCATGACGACGATGAGTTCAGCCAGTTGTGTGGGATGTTGCTTTCTCGTTCAACTTATTCTGCTGAGATTTCAGCTTGATGGTGATCGTGCTCCAAATAAAGGAGACATTTAGATAAACATCCAATAAGAGCTGGTTTTTCTGATTTGGATTAAATTGTATCAGGAATTCCCTTTCCTTTGTGTTCCTCAACAACGTCTCAAATTGTTTGTATCGAATTCTTATTTCTGCCTCTCTTTTTTCTTCTTCTTTGTCGATTGCCGCTGCTGGTCAGTCAGCACTTGAGGAATTCCCTTCAGGGACTACAAATGAAATCAAAGTTGAAGTATATGTACAGTAATAATACGTGAGAAATCAATATATCCAACAGTGATCCACCTACATACATGCATATCCTCTCTTCCTCTGCTGCATTTATATGGGTTCCAATTCATCCTCCGCTGCGCGTTTCATCTCAGGTACTTTTGTTGATTACAGCTTACATTCCCTAGTACATACATACACACATACATACGTACGCACCAGGCTCCAAAACGCCGAGACAGGATCGGATGCGATTTTGTCGGGGAAATATGTAGACATTGACGTTATCATTCTTCCAAGTCGGGGAAACAATCAGTCGAGATGGATGTGGTTCTGGTAGTCTGCATGGGAAGGGCTTGGGAGCAATTGTTTAAGATGAGTCTGGGTGGGTGGTTATTTGCTCACTATAAAAGGTACATTTGACGCATCATTCCCTCCCCTTCACCTCCAACATTAACGATCAGCAAGTAGGACGACCCGATCAAAGAGCAGCGTGCATATCCCTATTGTATAGCCTAATTAAGTATTTCATTAGTCCTAATCAAATTGTGCACGCGCATTTGACCTGCAGTACGAAGGTCTTGACTAGTAACTACATATGTAGGTCAGTCAAGAATGCATACCTAGCAGATTTATTATATTAACACTACTCTCAAGATACTTATTTATAGTTAACATTTACTATGACATCACTAACAAGAGTTTGAAGCTGTACATTGATTTTTATATGAGTAGCACTGACGACCATGTCCCTCGTAAGGTCTCACTTGCCGGTCCTTTGCACTTAAATTCAATATACAGCATAGGGCGCAGGTATGTATGTAAGTATGCAACATTTAGCCTGAATAACGCTTAATTTGTTATTATTACAAGTATGCTTAAACTTATTACATGACACCTCGCCTACGAAATTTAAGTTTGTCGAGTCAGAGGATCTATATTTCTAAGCAATGTCAGGATGGTTCTGGTGGGAGTCCTTATAAGCCCCCCAAAGTGCAGTTGGGCGAGAGAACTTGACTATTATAATTCTACGAGGTAGAGCAGGAATATTAAAAGAACAGCTTCCAGCTTTTGGTATGTTGTTGAGCTAAGAGAAAGTATCAAGGAGTAAGATGAGCTAGACACGCCATATGTTGGACGCTGGAGAGAAGCCGATGCCTCCCCTGTACAAAGGAAATAGGTCATGTTTTTTATTATTGCAAGGTATAATAATAAGTATTGGGGATGAGATGAGCTAGGGTAGGTGGGTGGGTGGGTGGGTAGGAGAATCTCTACCCGTGTGGAAAATCAGGAGACCTACATGGGATCAGACATGTACTTACCACCTGTGACGACAACAGTGGCGCTGCAAAAAAAACATTTTATAACGTAACAATCGAATTGAATTTTGGACTCCACATGCTTCCCTACACATTTCTTTGGTGAAATTGAGATTCTTGATTCGAGAGCACTATTACACATAAATCACAATTTGTATACTGAGATATTTTCACAATAATTTTTAAGGTGTATATGAAATAATTTCATTGAAATTGTATAAAGTTAATTCGGAATTTTAAAAAACTAATTGTCTGTCTTTGAATTTAATAAATCAAATGTGTATTAAAATCACTAATTTACAAGTAAAATCTAACAAGCCAAACTTACCTGGCAAAACCAACAGTATTTAAGTAGCATGTCCAATTTCCACTTTGGGAACGTTGTACTCCGCGGAACGTTGCTGTTTCAACAATCATCTCGTCTTCTATCTTGGACTAAAATATGACATGAAATAATTATGTTAATCTAGCGTCATCCATAATCTTTGTAAAGTGAGGAAAACTGTTTACCTGAAAGGTGATGGAATTCTTGTCATCGTTTTTATCCAACAATTGACCATTATGATACCACAAGATTTTCCCAACATTATCAGGTAGAGAATCCTGCACAATGCATTTTAATTCAATTAGCATGAGTCAAATCTTAAGCATAACTGTCAAACAGAGGTTCTCATCTAATAATTATGGCTCAATAAAATTCAATTTGTTTGTCATTTTTATAGAGTTTGTTGTTAATATTTCGACGAAATGTATTATTATGTGTGTACACTCGCCTGTACAATGCATTTTAATTGCAGAATTGACTGTGGCGACTCCCATATATGAGGACTTTCTTGCGGCTCCAGTCTGAAAAAAGACGCAAACTATAAATTAAATCACTGTCTCCTCTGTAACTTTAATAAAAACTGTCGAGTGCCGAGCGGACATGAATTACGTGCTTGTGATTTTGCTGAGGATAGCGGAAAAACGTACCTAATGGTAGGGACCAAAACCGTAAGATAGATCGGGTATGACAATTTCGGCTCAGTCGATATCTGACACTCGTATACGCCATCTATTCATATTTGAGATTTATACATTTCACGTCTTTTCATGATATTTTGATTTATATTATATTACCATCTCGGGGCTGGACCTGTGGACATTGCACGTTAGCTCATCCCATATCTTTCCAATTCTATGTTAACTCTTGTTTAGATTTACCAGTCTTGTACAAATTGAGAAATTGTTAAATACGTAAGCTCGTATTGGTACAAATGTATGAGCGCATTCAAAATAACTGAATACTTGTATATTTTTTAACATTAATAATTGTTCAAGGTACTTTCTCAGTTTGTTCATTAATGATTTGAAAATCTAAATTATTCGTTAAGTTATAGTTGGAAAGATATGGAATGAGTTAACGAACGTATTTGATTTGTAGGATCCAAGAGTCGCCTATGACATAACAACACGTAATGAATAATTTATTTCTCAAAATTGCATAACAAACCATCATAGGCATTAAAATAACTCACCTGGTGGAGCCGCAATGACTTGGAAACGTTCATCTGCGATGAATGTGTAGCGATCCACTGTGACAATATGTGAATCCACCTAAAAGATTTTAAAAAGTAAAAAAAAAACATCAAAATCTTTCATATTACTGCATGACATTTATCCAGCTCATATGCCACAGGAATAATAAATAATGTGTACTTTGTACATGAACGCTTTTACTACGGGCCATATGCATATTTTATTCATATTGCACGTCAAAATAGTGTACCAACAAGAGCATCTAATCCTTCTTCTGCGTTCAAAGGATGTGTTGAAAATGTCAATGTCATACACTTACCTTCCGAATCCACGCCACCTAAGAAATTAAAGAAAAAGAACTATCAGTCAGACGGCATAAAATATATCACCGCTTTCTCTGCCCCCATTCTCTCGGTATAGATATGCGTTATAAAATAAAAGATGTTCTTCTTATATTTAGACCAAGAAACTGCACACGCATTTATTTTCTAGACTTTCCTTCTAAATCAAATTTGATGAACAAAGAAATGCTTTCATTCTTGCAGCCCAACCAACTAGCAGTTCGCACACCCACCCATGATCACCCTACATAAGGGAAGAAAGAAGGGTTTGACCTGCTCGCTTTGAAATGAATAATACAACAGCAATCCGATATGACATGAAATATGATATTAGGAAAAGTTTCCTCTCCTGTAGTTTTAGCTATCCGTCCCACAAAGCAGAAGCCAAGTTGTCTCCGTCAGTATGTTCCCAAGTCATGCCAACTTTAACACATCCGTCTCTCTCGTTTCGCGACAAATCATTATTTTCAAACCATGTATTTTTAAGGCCTATTGTTTCAACCAGAAACAATTTGGAGGCATTGCAAACAAACTCGCTAAAGTGAAACGCGATAGCATGCAAAAAGAGTGAAAGTGTGAGAGAGAAACAAATACGTACATACTAATGACGGAATTAAACGCTATAGTTAGTTTTGCATGAGACGGCTGAAACTCCTCTGTTGTCAGACTCGGTTATCTGATCGGTGGTTCATTTGATCACACGCAGTTTATGTTATGGACTCAAACTGTCGGAGGATTTTCGCTAACACCAACACTAATGCGACGAGAGGCAGTTTCCCCGTTGGGTCTATACATTACAGGTTTGGTTTCCCCAACACTACTGTTTTCGCCCTTTTCTCCAGGGTATTGTTAGCAAACAATTTATTGCCTTCAAGGAATTTGTGAAAATTTTACGTTTATCTGCAAAATTGGATTTTTATCCAACAACACTTGCTGTCTTGAATGATGCTAACACGCGTGTATGGCAAAGAATTATTACATTAATCCACTTCGGCATAAACAACTTTGACTTTTAGTCCTCGTCATAAAAAGTCACATTTACAGTCCATGTACATAAATTGCTTCTTTTGGATGAATGCATTTACGTATTGTTGAGGCAAATGGATATGGATATCGATCTCTAATTGCTACAAATGTCATTTAAGTTAGTGGTCCGTGGTGGTGGTGGTGGTGGGGACTGGGGAACAGGTTTTTGTACATATTGCAAGTAATGGAGCAGAGAGCAAGAAATTTTTGCTCGGTCAGTGGAAAGCACTGGGAAAAGGGTTGATGTGGGTCTGTCGTCCGTAGTCCAGTTCCAAAGTTTTCCTTCAATTACGAGCGAGGTGCTTGAGCGAATGAGCGGATGCCACTGCTGAACATAGAACAATGGGTCGGTCGGAGATTCATGAAATATAATGTCCCCAGTGTAATGCTTCCAAGGCATAAATGGCATAAAAGTCCACTGAAGATCATAAAATGGTTGAGGTGTTCGCCCCATTAAACACACTACCGTATCACCACCACCACCTCCACCAGAGCAAGAAGCCACCACACCAAACACATCTACTAGCTTGAAAATGACTCAATTACGACATAAAGATTTCCAGACAGTTAAGACCGCAATATTATTTTCTCTCTTTTACTTACGGCAAGCCCACCCGCTTCCAGGTACAGATGTATACATTAGTGTTACCAAAATATCTTAGCATTGGCGTAATATTGCAGATAAAGACTCGTTTAATGTCCAAACTTGCTTAACTAGATGCGTGCAAGAAAACAAGAAGCGAAATTATTCAATTAAATGTTCTATGCTCACCAAATTACATATGTGATAAATATATAAATTATAAATTATTGTCTGCTAAAAAATATAAAATTGAGTTTGAAACCACTGCGTATGAAACAGCAAAACATGTTGGGTAGGTTTTTCAATTTCCTCAGGGGGACCAAGTAAACAATTAATAAGGTAAAATTGAGCTCTCCGTTCGCAAATTGGTCGCTTTTCAATTTGATCGTTCGTGTGACCTCCACTCCCAATCTCTCTTGTGAACTTTCATGGAAAAATTAATAATTTTCCCAAGAGCTGCCCACTGCTCACGTCCACAGGAAAACGTATGTATGTATAGATATTGGGTGGTTTGAGGGTCCATTTGGTCTTGTGTAGTAGTAGCAGTAACGGAACAGCAGCAATGTAGCACTTACGGCAGCATGGAGAGAAAAGTTGGAGGCATTATTGTTCCGAAGAAAGAGAGAGATAGGCTTGTTCTCGGTTCTTGGTTGGGGTTTTGTAATCAATCTTTCCGGGTAAATTGCATGACAGCGTGTTCCATACCGACCGACCGACCTCGCTTTCTCTATCCATCCAACACTTTCCTCCAGCTCCAGCCCACTTCAACTTGTTCAAAGTTCGAACACATGAAGAATATCTGCACTCACTCAATCTGCTTCACCCTTGTTTTCGATGAAAGCAAACTCTGGACGGCTTGGCTGAGGCACGGAGGAGGAAAAGAGAACAAAAAATGTTGGTGGGAGGTAATAGCCATGTAAATGGTACCTATGTACGTGCATATACCTTCACACCATGCATACCTGGCCTCCTGGACCAGCAGCAGGTTAAGAGAAAGAACGAGAGGAGGGTAAGCACTGAGCAGAGAGAAGGAAACGGAACAGAGGAGACCAAAAGAGTAACCGAGCGCTGGCAGATAACGCAAGCAGTTTGTTCCCAAGTTTTTGCATAACAAATGGTCAAAAGATAGAGGAATATTTAATGCCGAGTGACTAATATAAAGAGAAAGAGGACCATGGTTGTTGTAAGCTTGGGTGGTTTGTGGTCATAGACCTGACAGATTAAATTACAGATTAAATTACAGATTAAATTAATTAAATACAAAGATACATACTACCACCACCAAATCTTGTGACTCGGCCAGTTGGATTCCTCGCCAACAACTTGCAAAATATTACCCTTCTCCATCCACCAGCACCGCCGCCAACACCACCACCACCACCACTGGGTGTGCTAAAATTTATTTTTCCATAGCCGCTGCGTGTGTGTGCATGCACATATGTAATGTATGTAGATATGTTGTGTCCTCGTATGTAGGAACAAAGCAAACTCTTCTATATGTAACTTATACGTACAACAGCGTAGTGCACGTAGCAGTAGAAAAGATTCTTGCAGGAAAGTTTGCCACGATAACAGTTAGTTGACGGTATCTCACTCTTTGTCTAAAATTCTCTCACATTCAGTTTTCTCGCCCTCATTTCATTACGAACATGAGAGCCAGCAGACACGAATTATTTTTCACAAGAAAAGTGTTCATATCCGTCCGTGATGGGTGCTTGCGAGGGAGAGGATGGTTCTCGGAATGAGATAGTCGAGATCACAAACGATATGCATTAGAACCATTGGCTGCGAGATTCCTTGCGAGGACCCAGGCGATAGAGATTGTAGGCCCCAGACTTGTCAGCTAAACCCCGGTACCCTAGGATGAGCAGGTAGGTCTGAGGCATTAGGGTCGGAAAGTGTACTTTTTTGGGATATTACGTTTTTGCGATTTTCTCAAACTTGATCCAAATTTAAGTTGTATGTGAATACGGATCGTATCAATTATCTTTCTAGAGTAAAGTAGCAGACCATCATGTCAGAAATAAATATGAGGTCTGTGACCAACAAACATTCTTTTCAGGACAAAACAAATCTACATTTGCAACTTCATTTAGCTCGGGTTAGGGACAGAGTCCGCTTCTATATATTTTTGTCCAAATTGACCGGACTTTCACCACCCTCGTGAATGTTTGTTAAGTATTCTCTATTATTTGGCACCAAATTATGCACAACTCCTTCCCTTGACCACCTTGACTAGTGGAAGTTATTATTAGGTTATTATAATGAGGACGAAAGAGAAAGCTGTGATATGCATAACTTATCCGCGGTACTGCCTAGATAGTCAGTCCGAAATGACTCTAAACTAAAAAATGTATGGGGCAGCATGAGGAGAGAGGTTCCTGTTCTGAGCAACGATGTTGGCTAACGTCTCCTCAAGACATTTAAAATGATATTATTTTAAACGATTAAATTTGGTAATTTTGTACCGCATGTCGGAATCATAATTTAATGGATAGGCACGGAGCACGTAAAGCTCGTCGGATCGGATTGTTCGTATTATTCCACTATTACTTCTACCTGCATGACTCTGGTGCAAAGGAGAAGACGATGAAAGAGGGTAATCCTACATTCCCATAAGCAATGTAGGCAAGTAGTAAATAAGGACGGATTTGTTCCACGTCGAGGACACATGACCGTGTGTCCATGTCTGCTGGTCCGTATTTAAACTTTTTTTTCTTCTCAACATCATCTCATGATGCTAAAAACGTGGCAACTGTCGTCCTCTTACATTATATTTCTTTTAATGATGTACCTTGTAGTCTGCATGAGGAAACTCTTCCAAACTTTGCTCCTAGTGCCCATCTCATGTCAAAATCGATCCATCACTTCATTGATTTTCTTTTTACTTTTTTGAGAAGCAATCGACATGTCTTTTTATTGTCAACTCTGTCATAAAAAGTAGCTACGCACGTTATTATTGGAGAGGTATAAAATGATGGGAGAAACTTTTATGCAAAACGTTGCTGGGTTGGAACTTGCCCTTGGAATAAGCAGTCTTAGCGCCACGTGAAATGCTGCCTCTTTTTTTCTCGCTCAGAAAGGTCTTGTTAAGTGTCTGTTCATGTAATCTAAATTGAGTCAGTCAACTAAATAAACATCATTTCTATTTGAACTATAGGTATAATCTAAAGGGAAATCATTATTGATTGGGGAGAGTGAAATTCGTGGAAAGCTCTCTCGCTGAATTTTTCATTCTTCCAAAAAAGAAGAAGACGAAGACGAAGGAGGAGGAGAAGAAGCTCTCAATGAGCGCGCAGAGGGAGCGTGTGGACGGTGAAAGTGGGATAAGAGACAGAAAGCGTCTGAGGGATGTAGAAATACTTAAGAAGCGAAATGGAGTCACAA